GCACCATTGGTTACATTATTGAGGGGCTGTTGGAGGTGAAACTCTTGCGCAGCCCCTTGTTCCACTCTCATCTGGAAAACTTGCAGCAGCTGCGTGGCGAAGCTGTGCTGAAACAGGTATGGTCAAATCTTCCTTAATCCATGCAGATATCTCTTCCGCTTGCCTGTCCATCAAAACAGATACATGTATGTGGATTTGTGACTGAAGCTATTCTAAGATTTTGGTGTGTGTAGCAATTTATAAAAGTACTGTAATACATATGCCTTTTCCAAAGGCTTGCCACAACCATGGAAAAACCAAGAAGGGGGAAATTATGGAAAACAAGTATATCTCTACACATATTTAAACAACATACACAAATATGGATATTATTATTATTATTATTATTATTATTATTAGTGAGGAAAGCCTTGAAGGCCTGAAAGTGGTGCAGTGAATAAAAGCAGGGAACGCCACTGAACTTCGGAGCAGGCTTCAAAGGGGCATTTTAAAGTGGTAGCTACACTGCTGCTAACAGAATGGAGAAATGGAATGAATGAACAAGCAGGATGTAAGGATATCTAGTGCAGGAGAGGGGTTGCGAAAGTATAATAGAATTGGTGGCTTGAGAAGCCCTAAATTCAGGTCTTGGGTGGTTTGATGGTTTTGCTACATAATCTTTCTGAACTGTGACAAGTCCTAGCAGGTGAAAGTAAGGGGCAGAAACACTAATGACCTGCTTCAACCTGGTCTTCTTCATTCTGGGGGAAATGTGCTCCTTTTGACACATCTAGTCTGGGCCTAAGCTATGTTTGCATTATCCTGAATGACAGATAGGGATCACTCACCAGCAACATATTTGTTAACCATTTATTTTTACATGATTTCTGCTATTTGTCTTGGAAATATCACAAGGCCACTATCCCTCCCCTGCCACTTCTGCATCTGCCACCTCTTTATTCTTGTATTGTTTGCCATGCTCTGGCAAGTGCCGTTTCTAAGCACGTGTTTCCCCCCGCTGTCAGGTTACCTTGAGTTATGGTGGTCCCGAGAACAGGCGCAATGTTGTAAGCGTGGGTGAAGTGTTCAGCATACAGCAAGATCCAACTCGGTGCGTATGTAACCATTTTTCAAATGAAATCAATTTGACTAATAAATCCAAGCACAAGAATAAGAAATGGCTTTTTCCCCCAGCAAAATATACTGACAAGTTATGGCCAATGTCCCTGCACTGGTGGCTTTGTATATTTCAGGCCGATTGTGTTAACTCCTCTGACAGTTTCTAATTTTCTTTCTATTTGCAGATTCAAATCTGTCCACTGTCTCCTCTACCCTGACACTGGATGGTGCCCCAGTCTAACAGTGAACTGATATCTGCCCTAACATTCAGCAATGACTCTTGCTGGTCTTTTTTTTTTTTTTAATGTGCAGCCAAAGCTGTCTTTGGGGAGAAAACGGAAGACAAGGTCAAAGCAAGTGTCGAGGTGCCCTGGCCACTATTGAAAATGGTCTTTGGACATATCTTTAGTCTTGAAGCACATCATAAGCTATATCTGCAATGCTCTTCTCACTCCTTTTCCGATCACATATATGTCATGTTAGCCAAACCTGTTTCCTATTGCATTGCATTTGTACAACCTCAGGAATGTTACAGTCTGGCACTGTAGCAATATAGTTGAGGGCTAATCTTCTTTCTACTAGAATGCTTGGAGTAAAGCACAAAGCTTTGTTTTAAGACTTCACATGGGAAAACAAGAGGGTTTTTTAAATGGAAAAATAGTGTAATCAAGAAGTTGTAGCCTGTAGTTTATTCTGCCTCAGCATCTGTATCCGTGTGGAACCACACTAGAAATGCTAGTGACTGCTTGCCTACTAATGATTATAAAGTAGACCGGTATTTACAGAGTGCATATTCTCAGAAATACCCTGAGAGGTGATACGATAGCCATCTTCAAATATCTAAACGGCTGTCACATGGAATAAGATTTATTTTTATTTTTATTTTTTTGCTGCTCCAGAGTGTATTACCTGAACCAATGGATTCAAATTCCAGAAAGGAGATTCCAGTTAATCATTGGGAAGAACTTTTCTGATAGGGAGAGCTATTTTGACAGTGCAACAGACAACCTCAGAAAGTGGTGGACTATCCTTAATTGGAGGTTTTCAAGAGGTTGGGTGGCCTTTGTCAGGGATTTTTTTAGCTGTGATTCCTGCATTGCAGAGGGTTGAATTAGATGCCCATCGGGTCTCCTCCAACACTACAATTCTTTGATTCTATCCTGCTCCTGTGTTTCATGCTATAGCAGAGCCACTTGCCTTTATGGCCATTTGAAAGCTATCTTATACATGTACTGTATTTCACATTTGCCTGGCTGAAAAACATATACATACACAAGTCCCCCACTGTTACCTCCAAGTCCCACACCTATTTGTCTTGAGCATTCTGTGCCCTCACCACTAACTAATATAATTGAAACCCCCATTTATCTTGGCTGGACCACTATACGTTTATTGCTTTTTGTATTGTAGCTTGTCTCCTCTTCTTGATGCATTCCACAATCAATATGCTGGATATATGAGGAAAGAACATTTGTTAACTCATGATGTATGTGATACTATTTAAGGACTTTTTCGATGATGGACTGGATCAGCTCTATAAAGGACATTTTATAATCCTGGAACTGTGAATGTTTAATATTCTCTGCAATCAGTCTTCAGCTAGCATAGAATAAACTACAAACTTATACCATCCTGGCATGGTATAACCCTCCTTGTAAATACTGTCGCAGCATTCGCCAAAAAGTTAAAAGGGGTTGCATTTTGGGAAAAGGTGAAGGAACCCTGTGTGTGCAGCCCTGAGATGAAATAAGTAATAACTGAAATGTTGACAAACTATCAGTTTATCAGGCCTCTCAAAGAATCTACCCCACCTTTGCGATCATAAAAAAATGAAGGTAACACACATCCATTTAAGGAACTCATACTACTTTATTAGTCATGAAGACAGTTTGTTAAGGGCCTCTTAACAACTCTCAGCATCCTTAACAAACAACAGCAGCAATTTATTTCTTATACCCTGCCCATCTGACTGGGTTGACCCTGCCATTCTGGGAGGCTTCCATGATAAACACAGGAAAACAACAACTACAGCATCAAACATTAAAAGCTTCCTGAAACAGGGCTGCCTTCAGATGTCTATGAAGAATTAAATAGTTCTTTAACTCTTTGACATCTGCCCGGAGAGCACTCCACAGTTCCCAGGATTCTTTGGGGAAAACCATGACTGTTAAAGCGGTACAAGAGTGCTTTAAACAGTGTTTTAAGAGTGTTTTAAACAGTGTGGATTTGACCATAGTCAGATCCCTAAAATGAGAGTATTTCTGTGTAAAGTCTTAAGGGATGATATGCTAGGAAACAGTTTTTGGAAAACACTTAAGTGAGCAGCTCTGGTAAAGATGAAAGTAATGTACGTTTTACTATCATCCTTTCTGAAGAAGTATCACATCCACCCTTTCTTCACAAAGCAAAAGGAATTATCCTTTGCTCTTATAATAATTGCTGTGTTTTTACAGCCTTTGTACCCAGTATATATAATGTTCCTTTAGGAAGCATGACTGCAAGATGTGTTCATATGTAACAAGCCTCAGCAGAACAGTTGTGATTATGGTTATTAGCCTATTGGTGTTTGACGGTAGTACAACTCCTCTTGCATCCTATAGTGGCAGCTGCATGTACCATTGTCTCCATGTCAGGCACTCCTATACTGGATGCATCTCTTACTTTGACAAAATTCTTATCTAAATGCTGAAATTGGAAGACAGTATGTTCTATGAACCTTTTCCAAAGCATGATGGTATGAAATCAGATTTGGAACTGGAGAATTTATCCCTTTTTAAACACTGGTAATTGCAGAGTCAGGGAGTACTGGATGCAGCAATTGTAAGCCCATTAGGAATGGGCTTACAATTGCCTCAGATCAGCCTTTCCTCATTGTTCACACTGCTTGTATCACAATAGAAATAAATATGCAACTCTCTCAAAAAAATTGACAATGGGGCGATACTCAACTAAATTGTGTTTGGTATTGTCCACCCACAGTACGTAGGACTGTGTACTGGATTTGTCCTGAGACCTGAATCTCAAGCGCAAACTGAACTAGTCAGAGGAATCTGGACCTTGTTTGAGTTGGATTGAGACAGCCTCAGATCTCTGTAGGTTGGATTAAGTGGCCCAGTGTCATCCAGGACTGTTGGGATGGGGGTGGGGCATCAGGCAGGAAGGAGAGGCAAGCTTGAGGAAGGAGAAACTGCAAAAAGGAGGAACCTACTGGGTGGCTCCATCTTCATGGTGGAGCGAGGTGCTCTCCTGCCAGGCCTGTCCTCCTTCCTGCTTCCTGAAGCAGATCCTGTGTGGCACTAGTCACTGCTGTTTTGCAAACAGCTTCCCTGCAAACAAGCTTTCTTTGTGTGCAGGGAAGCTGCTTAAGCAGCACCTCCAACTTCAAAGCCGCCTGCTCAGGAGTTTTTAAAAGAAACCCTTAATAACCCAGTTCTACCTTCTGAATTGCTTTGGGGGTGGAACTAGGGCAAGGTGAGTGGCCCCTGAGGTTCCACAGGGACAGTCAACTCTCACCCTATGGAAATAATGCAAATTACCGGTATTTTTATACACATTTGCATACTTCTTTCTGAATTTGGTTTCTTTGACACATAATTTCCCATTCTAAGCTATAGAGCAGGTGTTCTGTGGTGCTCTATGGATGCTGGACTCCAGCTCCCATCACCCTCAACTAGTATGGCTAATGGGCAGGGATAGTGGAAGTTGTAGTCCAACCCCATCTAGAGGGCACCATGGTGGCTATCCCTGCTATAGAGTATACCTGCTTATTGTCTGTGCAGAGCATTGGCGAGAAGTGAAGTGCTTGGAGTGTTGAATTGTTTGTGCATGATTAGACTGCTGCAGCCTTTGCTGCTATTTCTGAATGCGGAGCATTCCCAGTGAAATATTTCCCCCCCCCAGAAATAAATATTTTATTGTAAACCACCCTGTGATCATCTAAAGAAGGGTGGTATAGAAATTGAATAAATGATAATGAGAAATAGCAATTTTTAGAAGTGTGGTTTTTTTAATTCTCAATTGTGGAAAAACCTTGGAACACCCAACTGCCTCTCTACGCAGCACTGAAGGAGCACTGAACCCAGTATAGCTCAGTTGTTGGAGCACGAGACTCTTAATTTCAGGGTCATGGGTTTGAGACCCACACTGGGCATAAGATTCCTACATTGCAGGGGGTTGGATTAGGTGACCCTTGTGGTCCTTTCCGACTCTATGATTCTAATATCTTTAAAACACCACAGCTCTCAAGTCTGCAACTAGCTGTGATGTCTGATTGAGCGTCAGTAAAGGCTTGAAGGTGGTTTTGAGGCACAGGAGAATAAACTCAAGCCCTGCAGTGCATAAGGAGGTGGTGTCAGTTTTCCAGACTTAATTGGGGCCTTAAGATCTTCTGCTTTGTTCACATGTACTTCTTTTTGTACAAGTGTCAATTTGTCAATTTGTCAATTTAGCCATGCTCAATTTGCTTATGTACGAGTTTTCGCTTTGAGCAAATGATGTTGGCACTTACTGGTTTAGCAACTACCACATTTCTTTTATAGAAAATGAATCTAAAAAATAAAGTGTTTCACTGACTCTCCTTTCATTCTGAGTTGCTGTACCATGTTTTTGAATGGTATTCAGGACTTAGTTAATATACCGGTACATGCATCCTCATAATGGGCCCCTGCTGAAAACATGCATTTAATACATTTTCCCTATCTAAAATGCAATATCAGAATAAACCTACATGCTGATTATCTGAGAGATTGTAAGCATTTCAAAACCTTTTTAATGTATGTCTAAGAATTTAGAATGGTTCACATTCCAGTGCTTAATTTTAATGGGGGAAATGTATGTTTAGAAACAACCAGTGCCTCTTGCTGTGACTCAGTCACCCTGACCATGTTATAACAGTATTAATCTAATGTCACAGGAGTGGTTTTTTTCAAACAGTTGGTGATTCAACTCTTAAGCTCTGCAAAAGTATTTTGCACAAAGTACTAAGTTACCATGGTTCCTTCCAGCATTAACCAAAGCCATAACACAGTGTTTACCCGTGTGTGTGTGTGTGTGTGTGTGTGTGTGTGTGTTTACCCATCTCTGAACATTCTCCACAGTATATGTCTTAACACACTGAAAGATACCAGTCTGTTCTGCCAATTTCTTCTAGTTGTTGCCAGTAGTCTATCTGAAGCATGTATTTCATCTACTCTCAAGCAGGAAGTAGTAAATGGAACGAAGAAGAGGATCAGGGTGCGATGGCAAGATTTAATTTTTTTGTTAGTCCCTAGCATTACATAATATCCTGTAAGATTTAAACCTTTACAGCAGTACAGCCAAAGTGCATTAGGAATGGGCTATTATTTCTAGCAGGGACACCTGCATTTACATTAGTCATCTATGGAATGGGTCTGGTACCTGGCAAATGTAATACTGTACAAAGGCTAAGGGAGTCTGTATTGTTGCTGCTCCTCATTGGATTCTATGGTTCATTTCACTGTGGTTAAAATGCTAGTTTCAGGACTCCAGTTATTAGCCTTCAAGCTCTCCCCCATTGGTCTCCTCCTGCTGTGGTTGGGTACCAGTCCACTGCACAATGTTGTCCCTCAGGTGCTGCATGATGACTGTGGATTCCTTGTAATACTCTAGGCTGAGAGTCTCCAGTCCAGCGATTGCCTTATCAAACGCAGCCTTGGCCAGTTTGGTTGCCTGCTGAGGGTTGTTGAGAACCTCATAATAAAGGATGGAGTAATTCAGAGCCACAGCCAAAGCCAACGGATGAGTAGGTTCCAAATGCCACTGACTGATTTCCTGAGCCTTCCCATAAACTTTCTGCGCAGATTTCACAAGTGTCTCCTTGACATCGGGCAGGGCCACCTCAGCTAAGAAGCGGTAGTTGTCCCCTTTCATCTTCAGGTAAAACGCCAGGCTTTCATAATCTGTGTCACTGCAGTGCTTCAGCAGTACATGGTCTAAGAGGCTGAGGATCTCCCAACACTCTGCTTCCAGCTCCTTCTTTATGGTCTCGCGGTAAGCTTGTGCTTGTTCCTTCTGCTTTCCCACCCCTTGCTCCACGGAGTGCTTTAGCCGTCGCCAAGAAGAGCACCGCTCCTGTGTTAGGAGCTTGTAGGCCTCAGAAAGCAGGGTCTTCTCCTCGTGGGTTAGTGGGTCTTTCCCTTCCATCACAAGCTGCCTCATGGCAGTGGCCATGTCCTTGTACCTGCCACATTGTTCTGCTAGCTGTGCTGCCTGCACCAGCTGCTTGCGGCTCAACATTGACAGGGAGAGGCCAGCAGTCGCAGACTGGCCTGAATGGGCCAGGGGGAGATTCTAGCTGTGAGACAGGCAGGAAGTGATGTCACAGGGACAGGAATGTTCTGGAATGTTCCGAAGCAGCCAATTTTATTTGCACAAAAAGCCGGGTGGTAGATTAACAGGAATCCTGCCGGCTGTAGAGTAGGAAATTCTGTCAAGCGGCAGGCCCCAAGTAGCACGTCATCTGTTGTGTTTGGAAATGTGGTGTGGTGTTCCAACACGAGTGTTACAGAATCAAAACACAGATGATAATCAAAAAGTGTCATGGCACAATCGCACGAAATGTGGGTTAGTAAAGATAATGCCAGCCTTGTTACTAAGACCTCGAAAGTTACCGGGGCCCTTTTTACAAATAAGAATTAGGCTGGTGAAGAATAGCAGGCTAGAAGCACAGCTGGCAGGCAAAGGAGAAACACTGTCACCAGTCTGCTGTGTTTGTGGAGGCTGCAGAGGCGGCTTCACTTCCTCCCCATCCAAGCTAATTTCCACACTGACTATGGAGGACATTACTCCCCATCCTCCAAGTATGGAAGCTGAGTCACTTGACAAAGGTGAAATAACACTCTGTCCCTCCTCGCCTATGTGGAATTCCTGGTCACCAGTGGTGACAAAGGAGGGCTTTATCAGTTGCACCAACCCTGCTTATAAAATTTATTCCTTATGGAGGCTTACCTGGGCCCTACATTGATGCATGTGTTTGCTTATGTTGTGAACCCCCTCTAAGATCCATGGGTGCTGGGCAGTATAGATATTTAATAAAGGTAATACTTCTTTATTACTAAGTTTAAATTAAACAATATTGTGTTATAGTGTGTACGCCCCTGATATGTTTTATGATATGGTGCTTGCGATAGGAATTTTATGGTCTTGCACAGCATTTTTGAGGGCCCTCCTCCTCTCCTGTGTGTGAGGGGAGTACCCTGTTGCAACAGATCAATAAAGATCAAGCTTACTAGCTGCTTTGCTTCTCAATATTCTCTGGTTGGCCTCTGTTATTTTCTCCTACCAATAGGGAACCTATGGAAGGACTCTAAATGGGCTCTTGGATACCCCATAAGGGAAAAGGGCATATTTTTTATTTTACAACATGCTGCAGAATACTTTCTTCATATAATTAAATAAAAATATTCCCCTAGGCTTTTTAGCCTGATATTTCACTGCTGTTTGTTTATTTCACTGTTTTATTTATTTAATTGTGTGAACTACCTTGGACATGCATAAAGGTAAATACTGACTGCACACTGATTCAGAATCCAGCAAATACGATATCAAATAGCTTGTTTTCAGTCCTGTGATGATGATCTGAATTCACTGAGCAGGTCAGAGCTGAGAACTGTCTTTTTTATTTCTTTCTTTTTTAAGAGGGGATGTCCAGTAACAATGGGATTATGGAAGTGTAAGAATGGACCATTAAAGTACAGGAGACCAGAGACGTTTACCTGAATGTTGCCAGTAAGAATCACCCATGATCGGTGTCCCTCAAGGACAGTTTATTTTATTTGAGATCATTTGTGAAGACGGGTAAAAGCGCAAAAGGGCCAGCGTGAAAATGAATGGAATATACCACACTCAGTTGAACTTGGGTTTTTCTTTCTTCTAGGCACTTGCTTGAGGGGAGGCAATTTAGCAATTTGAGGATTAACAACACCCAGCGGGCAACACTAAGGGGCTGCCATAAACCGCTTTCCTTCTCAACCCTCCCGACCTGCAATATGAGGTTGATAGTAATCATATTAAAAAATGAATTACATTGACAGGCACGTGTGACATCCTCTCCGGTCCCGCCTCACCCCGCCTGCAAAATGGGGTAAAAACAAAACAAAACACCGTGGACAATATCTGTACAGGGCAATTTTTTAAGATGTTACCAGAAAACGTTGCAAATTGAAAGAAAAAGAATGACCGGGACTGGGGAGAAGGTCCCCATCCCTAGGGAGGGGAAGTCTTCGCATTCTCCATTGCCTCTTAGGGAACAGCAGCTACAAAATTCCCCAGGCTTAGTAAGAAGCGGGGAAACATGGCGTCAGAAGTAACGGAGCAGACCCATCTGTAGACAAAGGAAAGGCTAGTCTGCTACTGTTTACCTCTGCGTGGGCGGAGTAAACCTGAGACGGGAGAAAAAGGAGCCCCGTTTTCAAGCGGGAGGGAAGGGGCGGTTCCGAGGCGAGCTGTGATTGGCAGGGTCCGAGAGGGGTGATCCCGGTCTTGCCCCGCCTCCGAATGCACGCCCCATGCTCTGATCTTCGCCCCGAGGCGGAGACTCCGGACTCCAGACTTTCTGCGCCACGGAGGGAGATGGAGGGCTTCTCGGGACGCCGGGCTCTGGTGACGGGGGCGGGCAAAGGTACCGGCCAGGGGCCTCCGGCCTGAAAGCAGCGGCCCCCGCGCACCCTCTTCGTCCATTTAAGAGGCATTTCCTTACTCCTTTTTGCAGGGATCGGCCGGGCTGTGGCGGTGGCGCTGAGCCGTGCCGGGGCCCAGGTGGTCGCGCTGAGCCGGACCCAGGCGGATCTCGACCACCTGCAAAAGGAGGTAGTCCTTCTTTCAGAAAAGCTCGTGTAGGGTCGTCAAGCTTCTGAGAGGGCTCTTACTGGCTGGGGTTGCCCACACTCATGCTCCCACCTACCGACCAGCTGATCCCTGATCCTATATAGTTAGCTGATCTTCATGGAGACCCGGTGCTGAGAAAAACTTCACTTGCTGAATTTCTTATCAGGGTGTAGGAGCGTTACTGAGAAACCATGTGATAGCTGGGGGGGGGGGAGGATTATCTGCCTGCACAGTTTTGCCTTCCATGCAATTTTCACCTGTGGCACCATTTGTGTGATTATTATTAATGCAGGGAACAAACTGCGAAAGGCACATTCCAACGTGTGTAGATCTTACATAGAATCGTACAAGTTGGAAAGGAGCACAAGGATCATAATTCTAAGCCAAGCCCGGTAATTCAGGAATCTTTCGCCCAATCTGGGGTTCAAACCCACGACGCTGATCTTAAGAGTCTCATGCTCTCTACCAACCGAGCTATCCCTCATCCAAGATGTTACATTCTCATATGAGATGCAGACGATGTCACACACACTTGTGTAAAAGTGCCCCTAATGATACAGAATTAATTTCAGGGTGAAGATAGGATCTGACAACCCTAGTCTTGAACCATCAACCACATACGTCTTCAGCCTATTCTGTGCGTCTGTATGTTTGTTAGAAGAACAGGAACTGGGGCACCAGCAGACCCAGATTCTCTTCTGCCCCACTAGCTTAACCCTGATCTCTATCTGTTTTCTCTGTTCCTAGTGCCCTGACATCCAGACGCTATGCATAGACTTAGGAGACTGGGAGGCCACAGAGGCAGCACTGAGCACAGTGGGGGATATTGACCTGTTGGTGAATAATGCTGCTGTAGCACTGCTGCAACCATTCCTACAGGTGACCAAGGAGGCCTTTGACAGGTAATCCCAGACCCGGGACTACAGGCAGGTTCCCTTGTTGGTACCTGGTGGTTAGGGGAAGAGATGCCTAATTTCACATTGCAAGCTGTCATACAATTATGTACCTTGCAGATTCTCACTCTGAGCCCTGGAGGCTTTCTGCATCCAATCCTGAAAGATGTGTAATAAAACCTTTATCCGAGATTGATGTTTTCATTTTAATCTGTCCCAGTTTGCCAAATAAAAGAGCTGGCTCACAGAGGCGCCAACCACAGCTCTTCCTGCCACTGGAGAGAGAGACGGAGAGGCTTGTTTTATTTTATCTGCTTGGTTATTGTCAAGGCAGATCCGTTGCTAAAAAAGGGGGGCGGTGCTCTGTTTGCAGGTTACAAGTGTTGTCCCTGCATATTTTGGTCCCTAGCAGTAACCTCAAGGCATTGCTGTCTGCTTTGCTTTGCATATTTAATCTGACTTTGCTTTTATGTAGGTCTTTCAATGTCAACCTTCGGGCCGCACTGCATGTCTCCCAGGTGAGAAGTCTGCGCGGTTTTGGGAGGGCAATGCTCACTTCTGAGCAGCCAGGCAAAAGGCTCAGAGGCTGGGCTAGTTCCCGTAGGAATTCTAGCTCAATCCTATGCATGTTTACTCTGAAGTAAACACTCACAAATAAACAATGGGATTTGCTCCCCAAGTAAGTACATAGGACCACAGCCTTAAGGTGGTAAACATGTAGAGCTTTGACCATGCTGTCGCATGCTCCTTCAGGGCTGAGGTACATTAGAACTTCTCCATGTAACTGCTCCTCTGTGCTCGAGGCTTGCACATTAAACCCCAAGCTACAATGTCCTCACCCCTTTATCGGGTGCCATGCGTTTCAGATTGTTGCTCGGAAACTGATTGCCAGGGGAGTGCCAGGTGCAATTGTGAATGTCTCGAGCCAGGCATCCCATCGGGCTCTGACCGATCACACAGTTTACTGTGAGTAAAACTACAAGGTTCTTGCTGCTGTACTTCCTGCTAAACACAGGTGGAATCTGCAAGCAGTGATTGCAGTGACAACGTTGCCTCAAGCCATGCTTGTTCAAGATGGCCATGGATGAGAGCATGAGGGGCAGGATTGGGGTGTGGGGAGGAGTAGGCAGCAACCCAGGACACTAAATTCTCTTGTTGTGTTGAAGGTTCCACCAAGAGTGCCTTGGATATGCTGACAAAGACAATGGCTCTGGAGCTGGGTCCCCACAAGGTAAGAACTGAACCTTGATGAATTATTATAAGAATGTGAACGTGGAAAGGGCCATGTGAAACCTTTCTCAATCAGAGCAGAGTAAACAGAGACTAATAATGGTTGAATCAGGATATATGCCTATGGCAGTGTTGAGAAACCTGTACCCCCTCCCCAATGTTGTCAGACTATAATTTCCATCAGTCTCAGTCAACATGGTCAGGGATGATGGGAATTGTAGTCCAAGAACATCTGGGAAGGCCACTTGGTTCACCATCCCTAATGTAGGCCAAAGAGGAAAACTCAGCTGGATCCTGCCCTGGAGGTAATCAGGTTGAATAAGTCAGAGTCACATATATTCCTACATGCCAGTTGGGACAGAAAACCTCTGTCTCTGGAGCCTGTTTATGGACAAGAATGGTTATAAAAGAGGGGGAAGATCTGAAAGCCCCAGCAGGTGTCCTGCTGGCATGAATGGGCTAAGCCTGCATTCATTATCTACTTTCCTGTCCTTGCTTTTTCAAGATTCGGGTGAACAGTGTGAACCCCACGGTTGTCATGACAGACATGGGCCGCCTCAACTGGACTGATCCCCAGAAAGCTGGACCTATGATTAGCCGCATCCCATTGGGGAAATTTGCAGGTAACTTGAAGCATCAGTTTCCCACGAGGAGCGCAAGTGGGGGCCTCTGGAGCTTTGGAAACATAGTAGAAAAGAGAAGAGCATGGCAGCCTCCTCTGAGTAACATGGAACAGTTGAGGTTGCCTCTGACTTCCCCAAAAATACCCTGCTTCCACTGGGCTAAAGGGATTGCTTACCATTTAAGAAGAAGGATTGCTTATCATTTAAGATCATGGCAAATGGGCATCCCTCCAGGGACAGGCAAAACTGCTATTTCCCCTTTTCCTGATAGACATGTAACTAGTCAGTACATGCAGTAGTCAGTAGTCAGGAGAGTGCAGTTCTCACACAGGGGCTATACTACCCCTGTCCTGTATGGATTTGCTTGAAAAGCACACCAACCGTTGAAAACTGCCTTGGGAGATATCACATGCAGGAGTCCTATCACATGTATAACTGGTTGACAGACTCCAGCTAGTATCTGCCAGAGAGAACAATCTTGGGACGGGGCTACAGCGCATGTGGAAGTGCAAGGACGGGGAAGATCTTGTTTGGAGTGTGGGGCATTTCATCCACCTCTGAAAGCCCAAGGGGATTCCGTGGACTTGATTGCCTAGAGCTGCCTCTGGTCTATCTATCATTACAGAGGTGGACGATGTGGTGAACAGCATCCTCTTCCTGCTGAGCAACCAAAGCAACATGACGACAGGTGCCATGCTGCCAGTTGACGGGGGATTCCTTGCCTGCTAAAATCCATCATTTGCTTCCGTCTTCCCTGTGTGATTTTTCCCCCTACTGAGTTATCCGGAACAGACTGAGACGTGGAATGAAATTCTGTGGAACATGGATGGGGAACTTGCCGCAACTCCAGATCTTCATGGGCCCCAGCTCCCATCAGCCCGGCCAATAACCAGGGATGTCGGAAGTTGTGGCCACAGAGAGAGAGACCAAGTGGGAGGTTCCATTAGTGGATGCATGTGGAAAGTGAGGGCTGTAGGATGCTTGCTTCTGCCGCTGACCCTGAAGAAATCACACTTCCTTACTTATGGAGAAATGTTTATTGTATAAAATAAGAGGTGTTCAGCTCATCACTCTACACGATGATTAAAAACTGGACCCGTCTCCATCCCAACCCCTCCAAAGCTCTCCCTGCTCCATCCCCCAGTCCATCCCACCTGGTAAAAGGAAGGGGTTGGCCATAACCCTTTCCACCTGCATCATCTTTAATCTTACAGAAAGGTTCCTGCCATCTGGCCCTGTCCTGCTCAGGCTGGACAAGGTAAAGAGGCCTTCCTCCAACTCTCCATCTTTGGGAGAGCTGATGGTCTGTAAAACCAGCTGAGGAGCAGCACACAGGCTGATATCCTGAAAGGCAAAGGCAGCTTGGGATGGCACAGAGCTGCATTGATCATTTAGCTTTGCTAGTGTCTCGTGCAAATAAAGCACTATAAAGGCTACTTCTTCAACCTGTGTCCCGTTTGTCTTTCCCTGCCCCAGCTGGGGTTTGTTACCTGCTCCTGCCACAATGCTCTAGCACCAATAGAAGTAGTAATAAAGGGCTGGTCTTTCCATTCACGCATTACCCCCCCCCCTGGCATGGAGACACGGGGAGCATGCACCTCCCACCGCTCTGCCCTGGGGGTGGGACAGCATTGAGCTCCTCCTCCTCCTCCCATGCGGCCCTTTTACATCGACACAGACGTTAAATCAAAGAGACATTTAAAAAACACTGACTTCATACATGATGAAGGGCCCCGCCTCTCCCATTGCGGGAACACCCAGCGAACGCTTCCTCCTGGCACATACAAGGAGGAGACACCCATAACATGCTGAACTCAGGCGCCCTTAGAACACGGTGCACTTCTTGCCAGGCTTCTTCACGGGGGGAGGACAGAGCACAGCACGGATGGCTTCATCAAAGACAGTCTTGAGGCCACGCTGTGTAAGGGCAGAACACTCTAGGTACTTGACTGAACCTGGAGGAATTCAGGAGACAACATGACTTAGGGAGAGTTGTGATTTCTCTGTTTCCCCCTCAGATCCTTAAACCTTGATTATAAAATTCTTTTTTGGGGGGGAAGCAAGGTTCTAGTGCACATGATAGACAAAAAGATGGAAAAGCACAGAAGCTAACACTTCTAATTGTTGGGAGAATGCTGTGTCCCCCTCAGTTCACCATTGCTTCCTGTAGCCCCCGCTTCCAAGACTCACCAATTTCCCTGGCCATAGCTAGACCTTGAGGGTAGGTAATGGGAGCCAGCTTCTTGTCACGCAGCCTCTCAATGGTGTCCTTGTCATCCCTCAGATCCAGCTTGGTGCCCACCAAAATTATTGGTGTGTTGGGGCAGTGATGTCGAACTTCTGGGTACCACTGAAAATGAGAAGCAAGGGAGTGAATCTCCTTGACGGCAGAAGTTACTCTGCGCTAGAAGCAAAATGGTACCCAAGGATAGGTGGCCCTTCCTGGCTCTTTGCTTTGCCAAAGATGCCTGGGAGAGGCCTTTAGGAAAATATCCTGATTCTACTTCCTGTCCTTGAGGCATCACTCATGTGCTTTGGGCAGCAAGATGAAAGGCACCCTCTGCCAATTTGTGGCTAGGCTGCTACGAACAGGCCTACCTCTTAGTAGTCACTTCCGCATTCTTAAGAGAAAGCCTCTTACCTTGGCGCGGACGTTTTCAAAGGAAGCTGGGCTCACCAGTGAGAAGCAAATCAGGAAAACATCCTGCAAGGATACAAGCAGGATACATGACTAGGGTGGTATGTAACTTCTGATGAAACAAGAGGTGTAACAAATGCATCATGTGCACCTGCAAGCTCTTTGTGTCCCAATACCGTCCTCTCAATTTAGCCCCCGCCCCAAAATACCAGATTTCACAAAAGGGATGTGTAATATTGGCTTAATTTTTTATTGAACTGACTGAAGATTTCCCTCATGGTCACGTAATTCAAACTTGTTTGTTGCAGAAAGAACATGGAATGCATTTGTGCATAGTCTACAAGAGTACTGCCTAGTTTGGTAGACATGGAGGGGCCTTTCTCTAAAAGGAGATATAATCCGACTCCACTTGTGGAGGGGCAGCCTCATCACTTACCGTCTGTGGGTAGGAAAGAGGCCTTAGCCTGTCATAATCTTCTTGTCCTGCTGTATCCCACAGTCCCAGGTTTACTGGCTTCCCATCTACCATGACGTTGGCAGAATAATTATCAAACCTGGAGGGGGAAATGTTCCATCAGTAACAGAGAATCACTCTCTACTCCAGGGGTCAGCAAACTTTTTCAGCAGGGGGCTAGTCCACTGTCCCTCAGACCTTGTGTGGGGCTGGACTATATTTTTTTTTGGGGGGGGATGCAGAAATTCCTATGCCCCACAAATAACCCAGAGATGCATTTTAAATAAAAACACACATTCTACTAATGTAAAAACACAGATTCCTGGACCCTGCGCAGGCCGGATTTAGAAGGCAATAAGGCCTGATCTGGCCCCTGGGCCTTAGTTTGCCTACCCATGCTCTACTCCATCATCACAGGTCACACCCTCCGTATCACAGTGCAATCCTATACATATCTACTCCCACTGAGCAATTTGGATTACTCCCAAGTAGGTGGGTTTCAGATTGCAACCTTAATTCCATGCTAGATTAATTGTGCTGGAATACTTCCCACTAACTACTTCTCTCTTCTAAAGCAGTAACTATTCACTACACATTTTAGAGCATCGCCTCAATCACATAGCTTTATTTCTTCCTCCACCACACTTAAATCACATCTGTTGTCTAACCTAATGGTGACTGAAAAGTAGTAGCACAGTCTCTTCTTCTACCTCCCTACCCCTGGCTGTCTTTATTAAAAATATTATTTTCCTCCCATAACGTTTCTTCTTTTTGTTTTTATATAGTGAAATAGCTCTGTTTTCTAATGTTAAACCCCATTAATTTAAAAAGCCCTCAGGAGAAACAGGCACCGATAATGAGAGGCATTTAAGAGGGGTGATTAACATCAGCAGCCCCACTGTGGAAGCTATATTAGGACAACCTGCAAGTAGGACACTTTTCAATGATGTCAGAAGGGCCATTTGCTGAATGGGACTTAAGGTAAAGGTAAAGGTAAAGGTACCCCTGCCCGTACGGGCCAGTCTTGACAGAATCTAGGGTTGTGCGCCCATCTCACTCAAGAGGCCGGGGGCCAGCGCTGTCCGCAGACACTTCCAGGTCACGTGGCCAGCGTGACATCGCCACTCTGGCGAGCCAGAGCCGCACACGGAAACGCCGTTTACCTTCCCGCTAGTAAGCGGTCCCTATTTATCTACTTGCACCCGGGGGTGCTTTCAAACTGCTAGGTTGGCAGGCGCTGGGACCGAGCAACGTGAGCGCACCCCGCCGCAGGGATTCAAACCGCCGACCTTTCGATCGGCAAGCCCTAGGCGCTGAGGCTTTTACCCACAGCGCCACCCACGTCCAGTGAATGGGACTTACTTCTGAGGAAATAAGAAAAGATCACAGCCATAGTGGTGGGCATTGCAGGATAATATATTAAGTGATCTTTTGAACTTCCCTTTTAATTCTGCTTCCAGTTGAGAGCAGAAAAGCAATGCCTCAGGATTGTTAAAGCGTGCTAGAGCAGAAGTAACCTGAGTTAATATGTATATTACATTTCAGTACGTTACTCAACAGGCAACCTGTACCGAGGTGGGAGAATAAGTTTAACGCCAACCCTTTCTCTGTTACTTTCCAAGCGAAAGAATGGTAGAAGCATGTAAATGATATGACTCTAGTGAACATTTCCCATAGTGCTGTTATTCTTAAGCACAATCCTTGAGGGATACTACAGCCATCACAACCAGGGCTATTTTGCCCAACAAAATTCCACATAAGAAAAGCAGGCATATAGATCATCTGTGATTTTTTTTTTTGCTATGTGTGGAAAAAAACACACTGGAAAACAACGGCTATTTACAGCTTCCCTGCAGATGTGCCTACAGCAAAATACTTATTTTTATTTTTAAAGTCATTTGTGCTTAACTTTATCCGGTTTAGTAGACTATTGCTCAATTTGTCCCACTTCAAGTGCCCCTAGGAGTCCCAGTTCTTTCAACACCCAGAGAATCAGCATGCACGTTATCCCACAACTATGTAGTAGAACCTCTATACTCACACAGTGGGGATGTATTCTCCGGGGAAGGCATTTGTCGTGTAGCTGATCAACAGACAGGTCTTCCCCACAGCCCTGAAGAAATGAAAGCACAGCCGTACAGCATAGACACAACAGGATGGCATGGAGTAGGGCTAAGAGGGGGGAAATGGGGTGCACCCCCACTGGATCAGATATAGATTTTTGATCTATCAGTAACACACCCAAACTTCTTCCTTCAGTGACTTTGTTCTATGGGGCAGGAAACACACCTTATACAGCAGGGGTATCCAATGTACTACACTCATCAGCCCCAGCCAGCTTGGCCATGATCAAGATAACTGGAGTTGTAGTCTGGCAACAACTGGAAAGCTACCCATCCCTTATAGTGAGATTCTTCACACACTACTAACCTGGGCTCATAATAACTTAAAAAAACCAACCCTCATTGTTGAGACTAACAGGGTGCACTTGGGTTAAAAAGTAAAAACACAATTAATAGCCAAGGATTTTGAGTTCCAACAGGAAAAAGGGTGTTCTACGAACCAGCATTTACGCTTGGTTTTTGCATACCAAGGATCTCTCAATGGCCCAGCCAGCAAGCACAAAAGCCAAAGGGACAAGTTTTCACCCATATGATCACAGAAAAAGACAGTCTTTGGGGGTAGACAGCAGCAGGAGGAGAAGTGCTGGTGCTGTACATGAGAACACATGTGGAAACCATTTGGTAGGAAACAAATGTATTGCTCTCTACTGTTCTTTCTGTGCAACACACATTAAAAAGAAAGATGCTTGTGATATAATGTCTGTGGACTGATTCTGTTAAGATCAGCACCAGCATTGTCTAATGGCAAGCCACTGCATAGGGAGGTCACACACCTTGTACCCAGTCACAGCATTCCCTTCCCATGTGCTGGAAATTTCATTTGCATGCTCACACTTCTGATTCTTAGCCATTTCCCCATCTCACTGGGCATGGTTTAAAGCAGGCAGTGTTGTGTGTGTGTGTGTGTTTTTTTTGTCTTCAGGAGGTACTCAAGAGCACGCAGTACCGGCACCTTTTGTTGTTGTTGTTAACAAGTGTGGCATTTACTGTAAGAACTTCATGCTGAGTACCAGCACCTATTTTTCTAGGGGGCGGGGGCGGGGGCGCATTGAAAGCAGGAATTGCCAACATCTGCAAACAGGGAGATTATTTTAACTTTTATTTGAGTAAAGGTCTGAACGGATTGGGTGAGAGGTGCAGTTTGACTATGTTAGAATTATGCACTGTAACGTTTTAATTTATCTTTGTAATCATGCAGGAAGACAGTCTTCTCATATCAGTGGAGCAATGGGGACACCCCAAATCAATGGTGGCAGGGAAGTTGGACCACCCAATGCCTTGCGATAAATATCACGTGGCATTTACAGAATGCTTTTTGAGCATTCAACGTGATTCGTGTGCATCGCCTAAATAATACTAAGAACCCACTGTAAGACAGGTCAGAGCTATTGGAAGGGGAAGCCAGGGAACCTGAAGCTGAGAGACTGGGGTGGTGGGAGATTGATTTGCTAGGGCAATAATGAGGTGGGGAGGGGAGAGCCAGCCACAGAGTTCACCGTTAAAGTGATGTCTGAACTAGGGGCTCCTGACTTCACATTGCCATTTATCACATCTGTATTGCACCCTTCTTTTAAGGAGCTAAGGGAGCATACCTGATATCACCTCCTCTTTCTTACCCCTATGGGGTAGGATAGGCTGAGACTCTGTGATTTGCCCAACCCGCCCCCCAACAGGGCTTTGAACCCAGGCTTCTGTGTTCCATGACCGACATGCCTTTGACAGCACACTACATGCTGACGCCCTGGCACCAGGACAGTTCCCTAAATCCATCTACCAACATAGTTATTTGAGCACAATACTGTATTCCTTTGCTGGCCCGAACATTTGAGGTGGCTGGTAACCATCCTTGGGATTTACCCTGCACCAGGGCTTATTGCTGTCAGCTTGCCAAGCTATCTTCACACATCCTCCTGGCTGGTGGCACTGAAACCTGCAAGCTGGGGAATCACAGCATTTGAAACAGCCATGGCTCTGAGCGTGTGTGAGAGAGAATGGCACTCCATCAAGACTGGGCATTTGCCCATCTCTGCCAATCTGCAGGGTGGTCATATCATCTCAGGATTCAAAGAAGGAAACACACCGTATCTCAGCCCGCCAAGCTGAATCGGTGTCAGATCCCTATCACAATAAAAGCAGCCGCCCCGCTCCTCGATCCAGCTGTGTGTATGTGCGCGGGAGAGGCGGGGGGCGTTGTGCCAAAGGGAAGGCGAAGGGCTTTCATAAAGGCTCCCACCAAACCACATGGCGATGCTAAGTGCGGAAACCCGGAGGGCGAACAGAGGGGCAGATCAGAAGCATGGGGTGGGTGGAAGCCTTCCCTGGAGACCCTAGGAGCCAACTCCTAGGGGGCCGAGGTCCCTTCGCCCCCGCCCCCATAAAATATTTGATGCCCCCCCAAAGTTGACGAGCGTTGCCATTCAAATGGTATGCGTGCGCCTTGTCTTGTGATTGAATACGTGGGGTGGGGCTTACCTGCCCCCCCATATTTTTATTCAAGTTGGCACCCCTGCTGGAGACTGCAGCAGAAAGGGGGGGCCGGCAGCATAGAGGAATGAGAGGAGAGGGGCGGCGGGCAGCTATGATCAGGGGCAAAGGCTAGCAAGGCAATGGGGGGGGGGTTCGTAGGGCAACAATAGGTGCGTGTGTAAGGGGCGGGGGACAGACATAGGAAAGCAGGCGCCTCCCCAAGAGGCAGCTAGATGGGCGTGTGCTCAGGTCCCCTAGGCTGGTGGAAACCCACCCCCCTCTTCCCCCAGCCGCCCCCTCTCCCTTCCAGTGCACCATCCTCTTCCTCTCCGCGAGGCGTCGGTGTTCATTCTCTCCCCGCTAGCCCAGAGCCCCACCCTTGAGGTCCCCTGCCGCCTGGGCCGAGCGCCAGCCTCGCCCATCCGCGCCCCCCGACGGCGATGCCTTCCGGCGGCACTCACCCGTCTCCCACGACCACACACTTGATGGCCTGCATCTAGCCCCGGCTGCGATGGCGGCGGCGGCGGCGGCGGCGGGCGCCGGGCTCCGTGTGCCTCGTCTTCTTTGGCGATGGATGCCGCCCGCAGCCGCAGTGAACGAGAGAGAGGGAGGGAGGGAGGAGAGGGAAGAGAGGGAGCGAGCCAGAGAGAGAGAGAGAGAGAGACCCGGGCGGGGCCAGGGAAGGAGGAGGCAGCAGCGGCGTGGGAGTCCTGTGGCCCCTCCCTGCCACCCCTGGACTCGCGTCGGCGGAGCCGTGTGGAAGGAAGCGGGGCAGAGCAGAGGCACCTTGCAGGAGATGCCCAGATCTTAGGACCCAGCAGGCGCCTTGGGAGCAACCCGCGGTAGCTTAGCAACTGACTGGTGCACTGCCTGGTGGCGCCTGGGACAGCAGCAGCCAGCACCGTCGGCGACAGGGAGAGGGGGGAGAGATGGTCAGAATCGGGCCCTTTGCAGTCACAGAACCCGGGAGTTGGAAGAGGGCCCCCCGAGGGTCGTCTAGTCCAACCCGCTGCAATGCAGGAATCAGGGCTACAGAACCCCTCCAATCCACCTCTGCTTAGAAACTTCCAGCGAAGGAGAGCCCGGCGCCTGCAGAGGCAGTCTCTTCTAGTCTAGTAGTTATTTGCTGCCTGCATTTATGCCCTGCCTTTTCTGCCAAGGTGCTCCAGATCCTGGAAGAAGAGGAGTGGAGCACCGGCTGGGTCACAGCAAAGGTTCGTTCTGGTCTCCCAGTGGCCAGTTAGGCACCCATAAGAAGCCCCATAGCAGGGCATGGCCTCAACAGCACTGGCCCCACTTGTGTTCGAGTGGCAGATTATCATGACCTCCAACATAGGTGTAGCCATGATTTAGGTTTGGGAACTGGGAGCGGAACCTCAGTTAAGTATTTTGTATTAATTTACTTGATTTACCCCCTGCCCCCCTTGGCTACTCACATGACTTCCAATACTAGTCTTATTCCGCCAGCACCATGTCATCCTCACAACAAGCATGTGAAGTGGGTGAGGCTGAGAAAGTGTGGCTGGCCCAAGGTCACCCCATGAGAACTTAATGGCTGAATGGAAATTCGAACCCTGGCTTCTCTGGCCCTAACTCCAAGAGATGGGCAAATATGTGAGGTGGGATGACCATCTGTCATAGATGCTTTAGCTGAGATTGCTGCTGATGGGAGCTGAATCCCAACATTACCTGGAGGACCAGAAGTGCCCTATCCCTGTGGGGAGTCAAACACTGCAACCACTACATTACCGTAGGGGGTTGGCACCTTTCTGCTGGCATGGCCACTGCGCCTTTAATGTCTACAGCAGTCTGATGCTGCTGTTTATCTTCTGAGTCAGATTGAAGTAATTGTTATGTGTGCACAGTATGGTTATTCTGTTGTGAACCACCCTGTGGCCGCATATAAAGAGTGATGCTGACATTCCTTAATAAATAAGCATGCAGGCATTCCGCTACAACAGAAAGGGCTGTGGCTCAGATCTGCTTTGGCTTTGTGTGGAAAAGGTCCAAGATTCACTCGCTGGCATCCCCAGGGTAGGGCTTGGAATGTCTTCTGCCTGAAATCCTGGAGAGCTGCTTGCTTGCCAGTGTTGGCAATACTGAGCTACAAGGATGTGTCTTCATTGCTATTACGGTGGTACCTCGGGTTACAGATGCTTCAGGTTACAGACGGTTCAGGTTACAGACTCTGCTAACCCAGAAATAGTACCTCGGGTTAAGAACTTTGCTTCAGGATGAGAACAGAAATTGAAGCGGCTTAGTCATGCTGGCCACATAAACCCGGAAGCTGTACGCCGGCTCCCTAGGCCAGTAAAGCGAGATGAGCGCTGCAACCCCCGAGTCGGCCACGACTGGACCTAATGGTCAGGGGTCCCTTTACCTTACCTTTATATGTGTGTACATATATAACGTTTTCTCTCAAACTCCACCCAAGAGAACTTATGAAATTATGGCATTCTCAGGGCCTGAGGGGGTGGAGTGGGGGAGCTGAATTGTGTCTTTAGGATTGAAAATAGATTTGCCAACCATAGTTGCTGCTTGCTGCAGGCAGCATCCATGGGGGCACATTTCTTCTGATCTTTGCTATATAACTTCCTATCAAAGTCATGGTCTAGCAGTCAAGAGTAAGTTCAGGAAACCAATGTAGTTCTCTGGATAGCAGCCAAGCTGTGACCTAAGAGATGCAAAGCTAATTTCAACCATGTGTCTCTAGGCAAGTAATCATGTCTCTCCAGGGGCACCATTTGGGAGGGGGGGGTTGCCCCCTATAACTCTTAGACCATATGTGATTATATTTCCAGTCAATATACTGGTTCTATACATGGAGTATTATAAGCAGTTGAAAGGCCTTTGTACCAGCTATGCCTGTTTATTTTGCATTATGTAGAAAACCCTTTGCTTTAATGCTGTTATTGTTTAAACTGTATGTTCTTTTCTTGCAGCCCTTGCTAGGGCAGTGAATAAATAAATGCAAATGTATTTGTTAGAAAGTACCTTTGATTTATTTATTTTTTGATCTTGTGCGTTTTTAATCATGTAATGGCAACTTTAGTGTGCATTTAAAGTGTGACACGAGGCTCAAAGTCACTTTTAGTGTCATATATGACTACTCATCAATTGCCACCCGCACATTACGGAAACCTCAAATTGGCACTGAGATTTAGTAAAATAGCTGAAGATGGTTGCTGATTTGCTGCCCCTTTCGATTAGCTCCCCAAAATGCAGGACAAGCCTAAGAGGGAACAAATTTCTGCTTTCCCACAGAATCAGTCAGGTCCCATTAAACACCCATGCAAGGATTTTATTTTTTTTAAGAGTCTGCCTCATAAAACCTGACGCCTGGGGCACTGTTGATGTGTGCATGGGGGAAGGGATGTCCTTGCCATTGGGCAGAGGGTTGCAGGGCACTGATTACTCCAGACAGACATGAGCAAACAGCACTCAGGTTTCCTCCCAAACCACATAAACAAAGCTTTGAAAGAGCAAGAATAAACTAGGGTAGCTTTGTCCTTTTTCTCACCCCGCTGCCTTTGCAAACACTCTTCTCTAGCTGAGCTGTGTCCTTTCTGTCGCCAGCCATGTTGTTTTGGTATAAGCAGGAGGACACCGTGTTAGTGAAGGCAGAAAAAGGGGCAGATGATTGAAATCCCACCTCAAGCACATGCAGTTCTCAAGCACTATTAAACCCACCACCAATAGATCATCCCTAAAACGATAAGAAACTTGAAAAGCTACTGAAGATGTACAAAACTTTACAATTATATCCTCATAGAGTACATCTGCCACAAGGAAGCCACCTGCCGTTGGCTAATAAGCCAAGAAAAACTAAGCAGGCCTGTCTTGACCTCTTAGAAGACCCTGTCTTAACAAGCTTTAAGTTCAGGCTATCTTCATACAATGCGTTTCATATTTTAACAGGGGCTTGGAAGAGAAGAGATAAAATATTTCCTTTAGAAAGCAGTTTTGGATTTCTGCCAATTTCGGGGAAATGGAAAGTGTAAGAGTGGCATTGCTTCCCCATACAAATGGTGGCAACAATCTGAAAAGAAACAAAATTATTTCTGCACATAATTTGTATTATTGGAAGCTGCAAACACACCCACCCACCCTACTGTGAAGTTTGGTACTATAGGAGGGGGCTATAGGAGGCTCCAGACTATAGGAGGGGGATTTTGCCTCCTCCTCAAAACCCACTGGAGCACAATTATTATTATTATTATTATTATTATTATTATTATTATTATTATTATTAAAATTTGTATACCATCCTTCACCTGAAGATCACAGGGTGGTTCATAATAGTATATAAATGAGCTACCTCATTTTTGTAGCATGTTTGAAGGGTGGGTAGGCATACATGGGTCTTGTTTGCATGACACAGGAAGCCAAACCTTTGCATAGTGAGAGATGGCAAGAGTGTGTAGCTCTTGGAGAGGAGCTCACAGTTGCTGTATTCCTCCCTGGTGCTTTTAGCTGCTGTGCTGAGCTAAGCCAAGATGTGTCATCTGAACCGGGGCTTGTGGTTAAGTAGCCTCATCACTAACCACAGTTCAGACGGCATGCTAAACCAAACATTAGCTGAGCTCAGTGCAGTTTGGCAACATAAAGGACAAGGGAGAAGTAAAGCAGCTGAAAGCTTTTCCCCGGGGAGACCGCATGGTCTCGCTAAGCTAAGGTTTGGCTTAGCATGTCTTGTGCACTAGGCCGTTGTCAAATTATACATAAACAACAGCGTCACAGTTATATGTGAAAAGACACATAGAATGAACACTGGTCTGTGCACAAACCGGCCCTTGAACTGGAGCAAAAGTAGAAACATTTCATTTTTATCCTGCTTTTAAAGCTGGAATTATAAATGAACACCAAGCTTGCCACTCCCATGAAAGGAACACAGCAAATTCGCCCCATTCTTGCCCCATTAGGCCACTCAAGCCTGTACCACTTTCAAGCCTAGGAAATAATGCACTGGCAGCTAGAGGTTCGCTCACTGTAATGATTACTTTCGAAAGCTGCAACAAGAGGGCTCCTCCCAAGCATGGAAGGCAAATTATATGCTCTGTGGAAGGAGCTGATGGATGTAGACCAGGCTAAACAAAGCAATTCCTGTCCCAACCTTCTGCATGGAATAGAATTTCCCCCATGTCTGCATCAGTAGACCCTGTGCAGGTGAAAGTCTGGTGTGGGAAATGCCTACATGATCTGGGGTATCTGAGAAATGGGTGCTTTCACTTGTTCCTGATACAGTAGGACAGTTGACCACATTGCTGCTGGGAGGGGGCTTTTGCTGAGGTAACGTGCATCAGACCAAAGGCTAAGGCTAATGCCTGTAATGTAGGAAGACATTGTATTTCCTGCCCGTGCGACCAGACCTTTCTGTGGTCTCACAAACTGGAATGGATGGCTTTGCCTTGCGAGACTTCCTCACAGTTTGCAGGTTTAAAAACAAGACTTGGCTTTGGTGTGAACCATTAAAATAGTTCCTAAGGCAACGGCAAACACGCCAATGATACCTCAGGCCCAGCCTCAGGTAAGCTGACGCAATGCAGTCTCTCTTGCAGGATCTCCCAGCAACATAAGGAAGATGGACTCCATGATACTCCACAACCTGTCCACAGTAATAATTCTGAGACTCCCTTCCTTGAAGCCAGGATCTGCATGCTCACTTCTTGGGGCTCTGAGTGCTTCGCGGGGAGCCCTGCACGTAAGACATGATGGCGTTCTGAAGAAAGCTGACTCGCTGGGCTTCCTCCTCCCTCATCCTGGAGATCTCTGCCTCACGAACCCGCAGCTTCTCCAGTAGGCTTGAGACTTCGCCCTCTTTGTCCAGTAGCGCCTCCCGGTGGTTGCTGGACAGAACTACATAAAGAGGAACAAAGCATCAGCACACCAAGACCTCTGTGGTCCTCAGGATTCTGAAAATGCTCTTGGGGCTGGGCTAAGCTTTACACAGCAGTGGCAGAAAACCAGAAAGCCCCCATTGCCCATACGATCTCTGCTGGTGGAGAAATCTAGGTTTCTTCTTTGAATGGAAACCTCCTAGAATGACAAAATGGACAAACCTCTCTCTTGCTAAGGGTGTCAACTCACTCCCCCAGCTCCAAAGATGCTACTGGACAAGAGCTGCAATTGCACTGCTGTTTGGGGAGTTGGCATCTGGGATAGCTGAGAGGCGGAAATAAGAGGGGGTGCCCCGATCTTCTCAATCCCGTGGGCTGGATGTGACTTTGTCCCCAGCTGGTAGACTGCAAAGGTCCCACCTTTACACCTCTTGCTCATGTACGAGCCACTTAATCTTCTACTCCTGCCTTGCGTCAAACGCTTCCATTTCTCTTTATGTGTTCCTCTCAGTCTGAGAGAGGCTGCCACATGGATTCCAGACAGCCCTCTCATTTCCTCCTCCTTTGCTGGGACTCTATGTCAGCCATCTCTGCCTCCTTCAGTCCCAAATCTGCCAGCAAGACGGAAGCAGGATGCAAAAGGTCCTATTTGTCAGACCCAGCTCCAAGGCATCAAAGGATGCAATAAGAGTACTTGGTGGAGTTAGAAATAGATCACCTTGATCTCACAGGCATGGCATACTACCCTGTTTCTTGCAGCTTCCGAGGAAGCAGAGACACACCATCCCTTACCTTTCAGCTGTCGCTCCAGGGCTGCAATCTTCTCCCGCAGCCCTTCCTGTGCCGTCCTCTCGGCCTCAAGGTGTCCTATCTGCTCCTGCAGCCCTACTCGCACTTTGTTGATCTCAGTTACCTTCTCCTGTTCCTTGCTGCTCAACTCCTGCCATCCAAAATACAGGCGACAAAGCAAGTCAAGAGGCCTGCAGGCTAAGTATGAACCATTTTAAAAGCTCAGAGGAGCTGCCCATCCCATCCCTTCCCTGTACAGTGGTACCTCGGTTTAAGTACTTAATTGGTTCCGAAGGTCTGTTCTTAACCTCAAACTGTTCTTAACCTGAAGCACCACTTTAGCTAATGGGACCTCCCACTGCCACCGCACCGCTACTGCACAATTTCTGTTCTCATCCTGAAGCGAAGTTCTTAATCTGAGGTACTATTTCTGGGTTAGCGGAGTCTGTAACCTGAAGTGTCTGTAATCTGAAGCGTATGTAACCCGAGGTAATCTACCATGTTTTACAGACACCCAATTCTACACCAATTCAATACTTCAGTCAGTAGAAATTGCATGTGTTTGAAAATTTAATCTTAGGTTTTCTGGCAGTGAAGGATGCCCTACCCGTTTTCTCCACTTTATATTATATTATAATTATTATTATTATTATTATTATTGCTGCTTAGGCAATTTACCGTATTTTTCGCTCCATAGGGTGCACCAGACCATAGGGCGCACTTAGTTTTTAGGGGGGAAATAAATAAAAAAAAATTATTCCCCCCCCCCAGCCCCAAAGAGCAAAGAAGCCAAGACAGCCAGCAGGATCCATTCCGCTGGCTGTCTTGGCTTCCTCTTTAGCCACGCACAACCTCTCCAGCCGGGAGAGGCTGTGTGCGGCTTCGTTTTTAGCCGTGGGGCTGGGTCGGGGGAAGCCCGAGCCTCCCCCGACCCCAGCCCCCAGAACAGGTCCGGGAGCGGAGGCAAGGTTGCGCAGCCTTGCCGCCGCTCCCGGAGCTTACAGGCTGGGGGAACGCTCCAAAGGCTTGCGGATAGCTGCCCAAAGGCTGGGGTGCACAGCGCTGTGCTCCCTGAGCTTCGGGCTGCAGGCTGCTATCCGCAAGCCTTCGGAGACCGGCGGGAACTCCCGCCGCGCTCCGAAGGCTTGCGGATAGCTGCCCCTCTCGCTCTCCAGGCTTCAGCGAAAGCCTGCATTGCTCCATAGGACGCACAGACATTTCCCCTTCATTTTTGGATGGGGAAAAAATGCATCCTATAGAGCGAAAAATACGGTATATACCACTCAGTCACCATGGCCTCCAAACCACACTCTCCATTCACCTGCTGAAGTTCTTCCACCCGCCTCTTGAGCCCTTCCACTTGTAGGCTCAGGTGGCCCTCCCTAGACTGGGCCTCAGCCACTGCTTGCTTCTGCTGCAGGCAGTAATTCTGAGCCTCGTCGCGGGACTGCATCATCAGCCGCAGCTTCTCCTCCAGGTGCTCCTGTCGCTGTTGCTGCAAAGCCCAAAAGGGGGTGGGAGAGGAGGGGGTGGGAAAGCAACTGCTTGAAATTATATATATAACACCGGCATGCACTAATTAGGGCTGTCTTCCAGTTAAGGAAAACCTCCACCCATTATTGGTGAAAATTTTAATCCTTTAGTTATTCGACTGAAATTGCACACAACTTTTGAAAAAGCCATCGTTGTGAAGCAAAAAGCATAGATTGTGGGCTCACGTTAGCCGTGTGTGTGTTTGAGAAAGGGGAATTCCTATTTCTAAGACTGTGCTTGCCAGCTGCAGTTTTTGGAAGTAGCAATACAATGCGATGTTGAATTCGCTTCCAAGTGTGCAGTTCTGCAACATATATTTTGCTGTTCTGCAGAGGCAAGAAAACATGAAGCTGCCATGGAAAATCGTTATCCCCCCTCTCTCAAAGTTGTTTCACACCCTGATGCTATGACACGGAGAGTTTCCCGACCCTGTTTCCACATCACTGGGTGCCACTCGTGTGGCTGTTGAAACACAGTGATGTGATATGATGTAGGCGGTACAACACATTATGGATGGAATGGGGACAAGTCAAGTGGTTTGCTGCAGTTGCAGCTTCTGCAACCACCCCCATTGTTTCTTATAACATGTAGCTCCACCCTCAGCCCCCAGCCGCTCTCACCTCTTCCAACCTGGCTTGGTTCTTGGCTTTGATGAGCTCTTCCTCAATCTGGCCTCGCTCTACAAGGGCAGCGGCTTTCACTCGGCTCAATTCCTAGTTACAAAAGCAAAAAAAAGGCATTACGTGACAACTTTGGGTTGTTAAGAATCTCGACATCACTTCGGCCTTCCTGAGTGTTCTCATCCAACAGGTTGCATTTGGATCCAAGATCCTAGAGGAGGTCGAAAAACAACAGAGGATAGGGACTGGGTATGCTTTTCACGCAAAGGTTGGCTATGGCAGTAAGCAGCTTATGGCTGGGACTTCATACCATGTGGCGGATCTGCTGCCGCTCCACTCACCTCCTCAAGCCCTATGCGGATGGCTTCCAGTCTCTGGATGCGCTCCTGCAGGGACCGCTCACTTGCCTCCATGTGATGGCTCAGGTGATCTACCTGCATTATGAATGGCATAAAGGAAGGGGGTACATAACAGCATCTGAGCACCATCTAGTGTAACCCCTTCAGCAAATGGGGACCTTCTCATTCTCAGCTCAGAAAGGGATGTTGGGAAAATAGAAACATCACCACCCGGCCCCCCCCTTTCCCCCCTAATGTCTCAACAAATGAAACTGATTTGTAAAAATGTTACATGGAAAAAATACGAGAGACATTACACATACTTCTGTAAATCAAGAAAATCTTTAATTAAAAAAAGAAAGAAAGAAAGGGATGTTGGGCTCCACTCCGTCCCAAATGGTTTGGGAGCAAAGCCTTCCTTAAAAAAAAAAATACATAAATGAACTGACCTCCTGATAAGAAATGAGGACTGGTTCAGACTATGGAGCTTCTGCTTAGAGTCAGTCTAACCCAACAAGCCACACAGGCTACTTGGGAGATCCTTCAAGGGGAAATATATTTCCCCTGTCCCAGACTCTTGGGAAGTAAGATCTGAAATGTGGGAACCATTGTGAAAGCATCCAGTCCTTTGTATGGAGAAGAGGGAAATGGAGATTGCAATTGGGGAATTCCCCCCAAAAGGGAATAAAAGGCCTTTCCATCCCCACTTTAGGGCCTTGCTGTCTGCCTGGGGGCACCCCTTCCTTTTCTCTTCATTCAGTCATGTGAAATGGCAAAGGGACTGAAACCTCTTGTAGGAAAAACTCTGTGACCCTACATCCTATGCAGCAAGATGCTAAATGAAGGAATTAAATTTTCGCCTGAGACACGAGAGTTAGCTTGAGTCAGCTCTGCCTCCTTAAGAAGGGATCTGTGTTTGTCTTCTTATCATGCCCCCCCCTCTCCCCAGAGACGCTGCTGAAGGACTTGGCCGCCCTCAACCTCACCTCCTTCAGCCGAAGGGACTCTGCATCTTCCAGGACCTGCTTGAACCTCTTCTTCTCCATGTCCAAACGCTCTGAGAAAAAGCAGGGAGAACTACAATGAGGTGCCAGCTGCTTGGTCCTTCACCCATTCAACTCTTCTGGGGAATCCAGACTCCCACTTTACACTCAGCAGCTCCAGACTCCCCAAATCCTGCTCACCTTCAGCCTGTACAGCCCGCAGCTTCATTTCTGCAGTTGTGTGGGTCAGGTCCTCCTTCACCTGGAAGAGCTGCTCCTGCTGTGCTTTGCACCTTCTTTCCAGGTCGCTCACCTAGAAGGAAGCCACTCTCATGATACTCAGGCAAGCCCAGTCTCTGCACCCTGGACTGCTGGGACAAGGGGGAGAGGCAGGAGCCTGGCGGCAGGAAAAGGAGAAGATGGGCAGTCAGGAGTTCCTGGGGTGTGTGTGTGTGTGAGGTAAGCTACCCATTGCAGATACTCAAGCCATTCTCTTACCTGATTCTTGAGCAGGAGGTTTTTCTCATGGGCTGCTGAAAGTTCTCGCTGAAGTGTTGCCTCTCGATTAGCAGATGCCTACAAAGGCAGGCAGTGGCAACTATCAGTTCTTCTTCCCCTACTTTTCTTCCATCCTCCTCACATACCCCCTATGTAGCACTGCTTCCCATACCACCACCACATCAGCTCTGGGCACCTTTCCCAACAAAGGCTTCCATGCTGAAGAAGAAGTAGAGTTTGGATTTGATATCCCGCTTTATCACTACCCTAAGGAGTCTCAAAGCAGCTAACAATCTCCTTTCCCTTCCTCCCTCACAACAAACACTCTGTGAGGTGAGTGGGGCTGAGAGACTTCAGAGAAGTGTGACTAGCCCAAGGTCACCCAGCAGCTGCATGTGGAGGAGCGGGGACGCGAACCCGGTTCACCAGATTACGAGACTACTGCTCTTAACCACTACACCACACTGGCCACCTGCCACTTTCTCAGCCACAGATGGCCCCAGTCTGCCCAGATCATCCCGGCCTACCATTTTGTGTTGCTGCAACTCTTTGGCCTGGCTCTCAACCAGCCTCGCCTGCTCCTGCTTTGCCGTACTCAGCAGCTCACCCAGGTTGCACACCTTCTGCTCGGACAAAGCCAAAGCGGCCTCCGTCATTTGGAGCCTGCAAGGCAGGAAGTGTCACGTGAGATTAGGGACATGCAGCAAAGCAAACACCCGTGTGCTTGTGGCCAGAATCAGATGGTGGTGGAGCCAAATTGTCCTGCATAATCACTTTCAACCTGAAGACCTTTACAGCCACAAAACCTCATGCGCAGAGTAGAGGAGACATTCTCAAGGGGAGTTAACCCAGTATAACAAACTTTCACAGGGTTTTCAGGGACGAGGAATTTGGTGCCCTCCCGATATTTGTTGGACTACAACTCCCATCATCCCTCACCACTGGCCAGGCTGGCTGAGGCTGATGGGAGTTTGTGCCCAACATCAACTGGAAGGCCACATTCTCTCCATGCCTCTGAGAAATATGTACTTAGATCAACATCAACTCTATCATTTTATGATTCTATAATAAGCAGGGCCTGTTCTTGCTTGACTATCTCCTCACCACCCCAGGGTGAACGTTGTGTGTGAAGGATTAGGATGTGTTTTTGATAAGATATTTTAAAAATACAATAAAATACTAACCGAATTGAAATATTACCTGTAAGCCACCTTGGTGGAATGTAAATAATTGTGATAACTAAATAAAGAGACAGCATATCCATTTTGGATGCTGGAAAACCATTTCAGCATACATGCGACACAGGTCAAGTCCAATGTATTTCTCCAGGCGTACACGACGACAGTAATCTTCCACCTTTTGAGACTTGGGACCACCTTCTGCCAAGACATGCATTTGGGGACCCACCTCTTAATTTTTAGCTGTATTTCTGCATAGTGGTAGTGCAGTTAGTGTGACTCGCTCTAGATCAAATTGTGATCCAGTAGGGAGTCCCAGTAGCGAGAACAAGATGGGGTATTAGATGGGTCACACCATCCATTTAAAAGTCTCTTAGACCATTTTAACAGTCATGGCTTCCCCCAAAGAATCCTGGGAACTGGTTAAGGGCGCTGGGAACTGTAGCTCTGTGAGGAGCTCTCAGCAACCCAAACTACAGTTCCCAGAATTCTTTGGAGGAAGCCGTGACTATTAAAGTGGTATAAGAGGGCTGTAATTGGATGGTGTGGATGTAACTCTTTAGAGATTCCGCTTGAGCCAGATATCTGGTTGGAAATTAAATCCTGTTGAAGGATTAACATCAGAATGTATTAAGGGAATTATTGTAATATTTAGAAATGCAGTAGAAATATGAGATGATTAGGATTCCCTCTGATCTCGAAGCATGGGAAGTCAGCTAAATAATAATAATAAAAATTTATAATTAGGCATAACATTGGGTTTTGTTTGATTGTTGGATAATTTGTATAATTTGGAATATATAATTTGGTTTGATTGGAAATTTTTAATAAATATTTTTTTTAAAGGAAATTAAATCCTGCTTTTTCTGATCCTCTTGCCCAACAGGTTCCCAAAGAGTTGCTGCTCCTTACTTTGCTTGTAGCGAGTTCAACACGGAATGTCGCTCCGTCAGGGCCTCTTGCAACTGCCCAATTCGTGTAGCTGATACCCTGCATGGAGGAGAGAGGCAATATCCAGGTATGGGACTATCTGTAAAATAAACTTTGTAGCAAGAGCAGGGAAGGGAGCAGCCAAGTTGTGACAAAAGTACTGGTTAAAATGGGATAAACAGTAACAAGCCGAAGGAAGATTCTTAGAAATCATTAAAAAAACAACAACCCCACAGCATACTTTGTAGATAGTTCCTATGGGACAAGTAATGCTTTACAAGGGTTCAGCACTCTGAATAACCTGTTTTGATATTTTTGTAAGCTGCCTTTGACTATATGAGGAAAGGCGGGTGAAAAAAAAACTTTAAAATAAATAAATAACAGTATTCTGACTGCTAGTCCAGAAGACCTATTAGGGTCAGCACAGATGTCACGGTTGTACCATACAAAGTGAAGCGAAGTAAAATAGCAATATCCCTAAACTTCCACAGTGGAATTATCCTCTTTTTGAGATGCTCCCTGTTCCATGCTACCATTTCTGTTTGGCGTAACGCCTTAGTAGCACCTGAAAATAACACTGAGGAACCATGGTCTGGACTCAGCTGATGGGGGGGGGGGGAAATCTGCAGCCCACAATCCACTCACCTACTGCTGTGGTTCATCACCTCTCGCTGCTTGTCAATGGTGTCCATCATATCCAGGTACTGGAAATCACATATGTATAAAATCAGTAACCTGAGTTTGAAATTCAAGCAGCAGGCAGGCCAATGTACTCAAGAGTACTAGGAGAGTCGAACTTTTATAGCCTCAGGCCACAGCTGTTCTTCCCAGCCCTCCAGTTAACACGTCTATAGATTTTTAATCCCACCCTTCTACTAATGAGCTTTAGGAAATGCACAATGCCTCCTCCCTGCATTTTAACTACACAACAATCCTCTGGAGCAGGTTAAGTTGAGAGGTAGCGTGGCCTAAACTCATCCAATTACCGTATTTTTCGCTCTATAACACGCACCCGACCATAACACGCATAGTTTTTAGAGGAGGAAAACAAGAAAAAAAAATCTAAACGAAACAGTGGATGTATGATTTTTGTGGTTCATGCTGTGGCCACAGACATGTGATCTGACGGTGAGTTTGGGGTAGCCCAATGCAAAAATCCTGAGGATCCATGTGGATCCATGCTTTGTAACCACGTTTTAAGTGGGGAGGGAAGGAAAAGCACTCAAGGGACAAGGAGCATGCGTGGGGTGTGTGGAGAAGGATGCTGCTAATAATGCAGAAGAGGTGTTTAAGGGGAGAAGGAACACGTGTGGGGTGGGTGGGGAAGGATGCTGCTAATAATGCAGGAGAGGGGTTTAAGGGGAGAAGGAACACGTGTGGGGTGGGTGGGGAAGGATGCTGCTAATAATGCAGGCGAGGGGTATAAGAGGAGAAGGCTCCTCTCCTCTCCCGCTTTGCTCCTTTAAAGCAAGCAGGCTCTGCTTCTCTCCCACCTCCCCAGCTTAGCGAGCTGAAAAACTTTGCTGCTATTTAGCCAGCTGAGTGGGGAGGAGAGGGACAGAGAGCCTGCTTGCTTTAAAGGAGCCAACCGGACAGGAGCTGCTTACACTTGTTTAAGTGGCTCCTCTCCTCTCCCGCTTTGCTCCTTTAAGGCAAGCAGGCTCTCTCTCCTCCCCACTCAGCGGCTCTTCTCCCGCTTTGCTGTTTCAAAGCGAGCCACGGAGGAAGTAAGGGGAACCATGGATCCTCTGCTCACGACTGCAGCAGATCCCCCCGCCATCCGTAGGCATTCGCTCCATAACACGCACAGACATTTCCCCTTACTTTCTAGGAGGAAAAAAGTGAGTGTTATGGAGCAAAAAATACAGTAGCTTTATGGCTTGAACCTGAGTTTCCCCAGTCCTAGCCTCAAGCTCTATTCACAAGACCACAAGTCTTTCTTTGTTGTGGGAATGTTACCGCTGTAGTCACAAGAGCTGAAGGTAAACACCAGGATGCTGAAGAGCAACAGGTTAGATCCACAGGTGTCTTGTCAGGTATATATAGGAAGACCAAGGATTCATTCAATCAAATGGATTACTTTCAGGGAGTTTAAGGAATTAAGTTTTATTAGCTGGACTAGTGCAGATGATATGTCTGGGAGGCTGAGAGTTACACAGAGCACTTGAGAGGGATTCTCCTACCCATTTCTCTTGGCTTCAGCAATTCTACCAGGCCACAGGGATCCAGCAAGATGATTTTACAGTAACAACCTTCCCTAGACCAGACAAGACAAACTGGTCCAGGCTTGCTTCAATTTCTAGTATGTTCAAAGTAGTTTGCCATCTGAAGTTGAGAGGGTTCTATAGATCAGAACGACTTCCTCTGGCAACTTGGGAAGAATCACCAAGTGAGGTTAGAAATGCAATGCCCTCAAGATCAAGCACCATTACAAATTAACCCTTCCACTCCATAGAGAACCTGATTGAATCCATGGATGAAGAGGACAGGACAGCTCTGTAGCATATACCCCCAAAAAACTATAATGCAAAGCTAACAAACCTGTCTAGAGTTCTTCTCCTTCAAGCTTATCACCTCTTTGCTGAGCACTTGGGTCATGCTCCGACTCTTGCAGAGGATGTTTTGACGTTCTTGGTTGTGTTCCATGGCTTGATCTGGGCCAGAGGGAGAGAGAGAAAGTGCATAAATGAACCTTTTCACCAAATATCCTGCTCAGGGTGAACAGCCAGTGATGTGTAGTCTATAGAACATTGGACCCAGACCTGGGAGTCTGGGGTTCTAGTCTCCACTCAGTCATGAAACTCAATGGGTGACCTTGGGCCAGTCAACTCTCAACTTAATCTACCTCACAAGACTGTTGCCACCTTGAGCTCCTTGGGAGAAAAGGGGCGGGATATAAATGCAATCAATCAACCAATCAATCATATACCAATGACCAGTAAGGTCAGTTTTGTCCCAGAGTCACAAATGTGAAATCCAACAATTGCTGTTAGTATATTCCCTGTGCATCTGGCATCAAAATGGGGAGTGTAACATATGAAGAGCCTTGCTGGAGTAAACCAAACACTCTGTTTTCAACAGTGGCCTCCAGTTACCTCTGAGAAGCTCATAATATAAACTAAAAAAAACTCCAGCAAATGTGCTGCCCTCCCTCCCAGCCCAGGACTGTGAGCCTGTCTGAAAATCTTCTTTGGTCTCAGGCTGGATGTAGACCTCTTGTTCCTCTTGTACAGGACCGCTGGGTACAGGGCAGCCTGCTGCAGCAGCTGAATGTAGAACTCTAAGCACGTAAAGGGTTGGCACAGCTGCTCACCCACAGCCTTCAGGATGTCACTGGGCACATTGTTCCCAGCCAATTCCAGTTGTCGTAGTGCCCGGTTGCTATGCAGGCAATTCAGGAGTGCACGGCCCCCCAGGAGCCCAATGTTATTCCAGCGCAGATCTAAGTAAGAAGAAAAGCACGACACACGACCACCAGTTAAACACAAGATCTCGCTTTCCCAAGTTTTCACACACCAGCAGCTGAAACTAGGCCACTTTGGGGGAGGGGGATGTTACCTATAACTGCAATTCATCAAGGGTCCAGTGAAAAGGGCTGGGAGGCTAATTTCTGGTGGCATTCCCCTTCATGTCCTTTTTTTGTATTAGGGAGATAAATGCTTGCTGAACTGATGCAAAGTTTAGCAAAGGAACAGATCCATACTTTATTATATACGTGTGTGAAACGAACAGTATAATTCTATGCATAATTAGAGGTGCTTAAGCCCATTAATTACTATGGGTTTACGTGTGCACCAAATTATGCACAGGGCTCAACTTGAAAATGCTTATGTAAGGATACTTTGCAGGCTAGGGAGACTTTGCCCCTGTGTGTGTGTGTTGTGTGTGTGGAGAGTTTTGAGTATCTTGCCATGCGTTGCTTCAGGTGCCAGCCAGGCAGCCAATAAAGCTCAATGGCTGAAGGCCTCATGCCAAAAGGCACAGAACAGGCCACTAAGGCCGTGTCTGCACCTGTACCATTCTAAGCTTCACTTGCCCTGGCTTGGTTGGTCGAGAGTGGGCAAATTTATATCTTTCTGAACAGAGTATCAAAATCTGCAAAGTGAGATGCCCAGCTGCCTCAGCACCACCTCCAATTCCGGCGGATGCTGCTCAGTAGCATCTGGTGATTGCAGTGCAGAAGTCAAACGATCCCAGGGTGAAAGTGGGTCATTGTGCAGACAGGAGTTGGACACATCCATGCAATGCCCTGCAGATACCTTCAGAAGTAGGCAGAGCCCAAGGCTCAAGCCAGGAGAGCAGTCATTGCGTCCCTGAAAAAGGAACTGGGATGACAAGAAGGGGAAGATGCTTCACTGCTTAGAGCAGTGGTTCTCAAAGGGTGTGGCACCCCCCACTGATGTAGCCGGGCAGGGAAGATTCAAGGACCATCAAAGGAACATTTAAACATTTCAGTGTGGTATAATATAGTATCAAAATAATATATTTTTATTTCTAGAATATGGATAAGTATCTTTTTAAAATGAGAGCAAGAGCATCAAGTAATACTAAGGACAATCCTAGCTGTGTTTTCCAATGTACTGCTGATTTGGTGTGGCATGAGTATATTTTTATTCTGAAAGCGTGGCCCAGAGAAGTAAATCTGAGTCTTACCAAGTTCCCGAAGACTGGAATTGGCTTTCAGAGCCATGGACAGCTCTCCTGCCCCCTGGTGGTTGATCTGGTTATTGCGCAGATCCAGGTACTGGATGTGACCATTGGCGCCAAGGCCCTCGCAGAAAATGGCAAAGCTTTCTTCCCACACACCCAAGTTGTTCCATTCCAAAGTGAGACTGGAGTTGGGAGCGGGGAAGAGTCAAAAACAAAGGCAAAGAGACCACGTTAGGCAAGAGATGTAACAGCACAGCTAAGACTGGGCTATACACCAAGCAAGGAGCCTTTAATTTTCCTCGCGCTCAGTACCAATTTTATGAGGTAATATTGTGTGACAATCAATAATTTTGTAGAGACAAGAAAGAACCCACCCAGTCTTTTCAGTTTTGCTGAGCAGCAACAGGAGAAGCTGCTCCCGGTCAGATTTCGAAGAACTTGATGTGATACATGCACACAGTGCACCCCCAGAAAGGTCTAAAAGGAGCAGGTGTACCCCAAATCCCTGTGGCTGCTCACCTCCGGATTGTCTTGTTCTGCCTGAGCAGTTTCCCCAGAGCCTCTGCCCCCACAGATCGTAGGTTGTTTCCCTGAAACAAACCAAGCCCCAGCAGTTAACAGGATAACATATGAGCACGGCAGGGTCAGACCAAAGGCCCACTTAGTCTGTTATCCTGTTCTCAGATGCTTGTGGGAAGCCCTTAAGCAAGCCAGGAGCACAATGGTTCTCTCCCACTCATGGTCCCCATTAAATGGGATTCAGCTGCTTGTTTTGCCTCGTCGTCAGGTACAAGTACATCTACACTACAAACAACACTGCTTTAAAATAACTTTTTGTACCGTGGCTTCGCCCAAGGACTCTTGGGAGTTAGAAACTTGTAAAGATGTTGTGACTAGCTCTTGTGAATGTGAACTACAGTTCACATTCAGTGTTATGTTTTTATTTTCATTATCAACTATTATTTTTATGATTCTGCTGTTGTACATCACTTTGTGTTATTTGAACTGAAAAGCAGGGTGAAATTTAGTAAGTACATAAATAGACTCCAAGATTCCTTTGGGGAGAAAGCCATGGCGTTTAAACTGCAAAAAAAAAAAAGTCTGTACTAGCAACATAGACACACGCTATTTACATTTGAGGTCTGGGCTAATCATATGCTACAACTTAAGCAAAATATCTGTCTCTCTTGGCTTGTGGGGGAGGGTAATGAGGAGCTAGCTATTTCTTATTGGCACTTTGTTCCACGTGTATTTAGGACTGGGATGCAAAACCATATGCACAGAACCTTTAAAAGTTTAAAGCAAATAACTGGGACTTACAATTCTGAATTCCTGCCTTTACATTTAAAACTGTACCTCTGCAACTGTGAAGATGAGGAATTCAGCCTTTAAAAATAGCTGGGATTCTCAAAATTCCAAAGTTGCATTGTAGTCATTTCTGGACCCCACTATTTGGAAGTGGAACCGACTCACCTTCAGATCCAAGGATTTCACAACAGTGTTGGAACAAAGTCCATGAAGTAGTAGCTTAGCCCCTGTAAGGGAAAAAGGAAAAAGCAGTTAATTTTTTTTGCACTGCAGGTCTGGCCTCTCAACCCCTGGGTATGAGCAGCAAGAGTCAGCAGGTATTTGTTTCAGTCAGGCAAGCTCTGTAGTTAGCAACTTCTTGCTGTGATTCTAACACAGGAGTGGCCAAACAGATGTCCTATATATGCTGTGGACAATTTCCATCAGCCTCAGCCAGTATGGCCAACGATCACGGACGATGGATGAGTTGTAGTCCAAAATATCTAGAACACACTATGTTGGCTATCCCTGCTCTAATGGGTGCCAAAAGGTCTTCCTCTGGGATTATGTGTTACCTATAACTCTAGCCTGGAAAAAGGGGAGGCATAACTCATTTATAGCATAATCTTATGCATATTGTAGAAGGCAGTCCCAAAAGGCACACCTTCTCTCAAAAAAAGAAAAATGGGGCAATTCTAGAGAGGCCATTGGCCTTCTCTAATTGCCCTACAGCTCCTGCTATTTTACCTGAATGCTTTAAGGCCGTATCCCTCAAGCCTGTGCCTTCTGAATGTTTTGGACTACGACTTTCATCATCGCCAGCCCACATCACCAGTGATCAGGGAGTGCAACAAGTGCATCTGGAGGGCAACAAGCTTTCCACCCATGTTTTAGAGTTAGAAATAAGCTTGTATTCTCAGGATGCTGTATTCTGCCCCCACTGCCAATTATTGCATAGTGCAATCACTGAAATTGCAGTGTATGCCTGGCCCTGTGTAAGAGGCTCTGTTAACAACATGTTATTTGGGAACTGGGAAAATTCTGTTTCAGTGTAATATTTTCTGGGGTTTAGTCTGTTAAATGCAGTCTTCACATTATGGGGAAAAAACGCCCCCGCCTGGGTGGCTGGTAATTAGCAGGCATGTGGGGTGGGGTGGGGTGTGTGTTAACCCTTTCCTCCCCTACTGTGGCACTGAGGAAAATCCACTTTCTGCAAAAAATCAATTTTACATCACTTCACACATCATTGTTTGGCTCTTGATGGGATTTCAAATGCACCCCTCATAGAGGCATCATGGTTCTGAATAGTGACCAAATCCCCTTACGGCAATTGCCACCAGCAGGTATTCCAAGCCCTTTTATTCCTGGGCCTCCCATGGCAACTTGTAATCTTTTGTTTTATTCCTTCCCAAGTGATACTGGAAACCCCTTTTACGAGGAGCAGAAATTCCCACTTGTGCAATGCAACGAAAACATATGGGTGACAAAGCCACATCAGCAACTGAAGGATGGGTGAGAGGCCATGAGGAAAAGAGGCCACGGACTTTGGCTTTTACGGTCTATTCTCAGGAAAGGACAGAAATCAAGAATTGCCTTTTGAACAAACAGAGCCCCACCTTCTTCACTCAGCATACAATTGCTCAGCGTGATCTCGGTGAACTGGAGTTCATCTTGCAAGAGCTTGCCCAGGACCCCGCAGGTTTCCACAGAAAGGGTGTGTGTAGCTAAATCCAAGCGGCTTTTCCCCGAGGCTTCCTCCAAGTGCTGCAGGATACTTTCCTGGGGTTCAGCACCGCTCTCCTTGCACAGCCTAACGTAGGACCGTCGGAAGTCATCCATCTCTGTGGCAGGCATCAGTGTCACTCATGCCCCTCCACGTAGATGAGGAATTAGGAGGGGTCCCGGTATGAAATGGCAGCCGAGGGTAGCCTGGGGGACAGCAACAGTCAGATATTACCACCCTGATACATGCTGCTGAGTGCTTTCTCTCAGGTAATCATGCTTTTAAGATTTTAAGAAAACCCCACATAAGGGCACTAGGAATGGCCACCAGCCTAGCCAACTTTACCCCGAGACAAAGCAGTCAGGTTTCCAAACACTCACTGAGGGTTGCTAGAAATACAGCCTCACCCTTCAACTGCCAGCGCCAGCCTATGTAACCAAGGGAAACGGAGCATGATGGGTAATGTAGTTAAATTCTTCCTCTGCCAAATCCTATTATTTAGGAAGTAAGGCATGCTGGGAGTTGTAGTTTAGAAGTAATATTTGACTTTCTCACGGACATTCCTTCTGCTAAGGAGTTCTGGTTTTAAACACACAGGGTAAACACACATATAATGATACATATGAAATCAAATTAGAATCTGATAAAGTGTTTTAGGTTAAGTTTCTGAAGTAATGAAGGCAACTTAACAAGAACTCGAGTTGGCAGATCAAGCATGTTAAAAAGGACTTGAGAGACCTTCAGTGCCTGTTTTATGGGACAGCCATTCTCTAAAATAAGAGGCACCTGTGGTCTTCGTGTGGTGTAAGAGAATCCTTTAAAAATAAATATCTAGTGTGGCTGTTCTACAAGATTCCTGAACGTGAGAGATTAGCCAGAATCAAAATGCAAGTCTGGCTAGTCTCTCATATTCTGTGGAAATGTAAGATGCTGAAATCTGAGGTGCACATTCTGCAGAATACAGGACTTCAGGAAAACTTGTTTATTTTTGTGTGTGTGTTATCAAATTAATGCATTAATTTAACTGGGAAGGATGAAGCCAGCCTTTCACACAAAGATGCCAAGTTGTTGTCTCCATCCCTGGAGATTTGCCTTGGAATCACACATGTTTTCTGTGAGAAACTGTTATAGAGATGTGAGGTACAATATGACACTACAGTGTGCCATCAGGGATGAGAATTAGACACTTTATGTTTATGTGAGAAAAATCCACTTACTTGTAAATTAGTTCACAGTAACAGTTCAGTCTCAGGATGAGTTCACACATACAAGTTAACCACTCAGTGACTGCAGCAAAAGTAACCACTATCACATTTCAAGCATTATGTATCACCTCACACTGCTAAGCACAGTTCTTTTCAATAGAGGCAGTTAATTCTTGTGTCTACAAGTCACTGTGTGAAACGTCAAATTACATTGGCTCTGAAATCTCCAAACTTCCCCTGAACAAAACTAGACTCACTTGGCTTTTTAAAAGTTTAAAGGTAAAGGGACCCCTGACCATTAGGTCTAGTTGTGGCCGACTCTGGGGTTGTGGCGCTCATCTCGCTTTACTGGCTGAGGGAGCCGGCGTACAGCTTCCGGGTCGTGTGGCCAGCATGACTAAGCCACTTCTGGCGAACCAGAGCAGCACGCAGAAATGCTGTTTACCTTCCTGCCGGAGTGGTACCTATTTATCTACTTGCACTTCGTGCTTTCGAACTGCTAGGTTGGCAGGAGCAGGGACTGAGCAACGGGAGCTCACCCCGTTGCGGGGATTTGAACCACCGACCTTCCGATCGGCAAGCCCTAGGCTCTGTGGTTTAACCCACAGCGCCACCCACTGTCTTAATTGTAAGAAAAATATGTAAAGCAATAAGAAATTGGTTGAAACGGTTTCATATATGTATTCTTACCTTGCCTCGCCCAATCTCTCCCTACACTTTCCCTCCAACAGTTTTAAAAAACGTGTTGTGAATATTCTAATTGTATACATTCAGCCACACTTTCATACCCATTCATGCCTCAGTAGACAAAAAAGAAGAGAAAATCAAATGAACAGAAGAGTAGGATAGAGGAAAAAGAGAAGTGAAAGTTCTGATCAGTGTGGATTCAAAATTTAAAAGGCTGAATCAGGAGCAGATTCTGCATACATCAGACACTATTTGAAAGTTTTACTAAAGGAAGAATTGCCGCTCTCTATTGAAAACATGGAGGCTGGGAAGCCGTTAGGAAGACGAGCACTGGGAATGTTGAATAGTTGCTGAATTGTGGGAAGAGGTGGCGAAGTGTATCAACCAGTCAGATCCACACTATAGACTAAAAGCACATAACTCCCCCCCCCCAACCATCCTGGGAACTGTAGTGATCCTCACCAAACTAAAGGCCTTGCTTCACATTCCTTTTGAGTGTTTTTGCCTGGTTGGAATATGTCATTGAACTCTAATAATGATTCCTACTAGTCTTGATGGAGAACAATAGGGGTATTTGTGTGTGTGTGTTTGTGTGTGTGTGTGTGTTTGTGTAGAAAATAGCCTACAGCGGTACCTCGGGTTACATATGCTTCAGGTTACATATGCTTCAGGTTACAGACTCCGCTAACCCAGAAATAGTACCTCGGGTTAAGAACTTTGCTTCAGGATGAGAACAGAAATAGTGCTCTGGAGGCGCGGCGGCAGCTGGAGGCCCCATTAGCTAAAGTGGTGCTTCAGGTTAAGAACAGTTTCAGGTTAAGAACGGACCTCCGGAACGAATTAAGTACTTAACCTGAGGTACCACTGTACTGTACAAAATAACATTTATATTCATTGCTCTGTCTGCATTTGCCTCTGGTCCCAGCCAACACTGGCTGGGAAAGTTGCCCCTAGGGAAAGCTAGACCTTGCCTGCCCTCGTGGAATTTAGAGAAAGTGTATGCCATCACATTTCCTTGCTCTGTATCCACTATGTGTTTCTCAGCCCGTCAGTTGTGTCCATGCCAAGGGAGGTTCTGACTAAAATTACTCTGAGAAATAAAACAACTTTATTTGTGTATTTTCTATTGCCCATCATACAATTGGCACGAATTTGTTAAGAGATGGTGATAATAGTTGTATAGAAGCATTTTAGCACTATTTCAGTGTCAGTAGCTCCAGTGCCTAGTATGTGGACTTAAAGCTTGGTCCTAGCCAAGTTTACTCAGAGGTAAGGTGCATTAAATTCAATCAGACTTTCAATGACTTAAGTTCTCTTAGGAAGGCAGCCTAACGGCCCAGCCCTAAACCTTTTGGATACAGAACTACTTCCAGGGAGCTAAGCAAGCTCAGGAACTGCAACTGTGTGATCCAGTCCTATAAATCTTTACTTAGTAAATCCCACTGAATTCGGTGTGACTAAGTCGCAGTCTTTGATTGCACAAATGTACAAGAGAGGAAGTCCTACTGAACTTAATGGGACGTAATTATTTTTTTAAAGTAATTCCTACTGATATAAATTTAATTCCAAGTAAAGGCTTTAGAATTATGATCCTGTAGGGCTGGTGGAAAATGCATTTGCAATCTATCCTACTAGCTACTAGTTTATTCTGAACATGGTTACTACGAGCAGTAGAGATGTGAGCAGAATCAGCTATGGCAGTGGAGCACAGGAGCAGGCGCACGTGGCAATGCGGGCAAAAATACCATTTCCACTACCAAATGAGCAAGAAAACCACCCTTCCTGTCTGAACTTACTCGAGCTGCGGCTCTTACACCGCCTATTTTCTCCCTCTTATATCGCTTTGCCTTCAGATCCGGTACCCAGGCCGGGCTCCACCGCCCCTGCAAAACAAGGCTTCCCGTTCAGGTCTCTACCTTGAATTACTTGCTGAGTCAAGAGAGCACAGCGCAAGAGACGGAGGGAAGAGTCAACTACAACTCCCACAATGCTCGGCCAAGGAGGCCTCTTCTGCCACCGGAAGTGGGATGAAATCGCGAGCGGGAGCCGACTTCAGACCGACTACATGTTCCAGCATGCATTGCGCGATGCCTTGAGCCCTCGGGACTTCCGGCGCCTCCTCTGGCCAGTGATTGCGGAGGAGAGTCAAGAGGGCGGGTCCTCTTTGAAATGGAGAAGAGGGAAGAAGGCGCGAAAGGCTTCAGAAAGGTCAGGGCGGGGGCGGGGGGAGCAGGGGACGGAATTCACCTTGGAAAGTGACGGGTGGCGGTTAAAGGGGGTGTGTGAACGGGAGCCCTGAGAGTTCAGAGTTTACAGACACGCGCTAAAATGTTATGGCAGGAACTTGGGAAGGTTTCTGTGTAAGTTGTTTCAGTGGCTTGTCAAGTTCTGCAAATCCTGCTGTGAAGCCTAAAGAGGTTCCCTCAGGGAAGACCTGTGTCTTGGGAGGGCTCTTGGTTTAGACTCCCAGCGTTTCCCAAACTTGGATCTCCATCTGCTTTTGGACTACAATTCCCACCATCCCTGACTTGCTAGCTAGGGATGATGGGAGTTGTAGTAAAAAAAACAACCAACAGCAGCTGGAGACCCAAGTTTGGGATACACAGGTTTAGAGGAAGGGTCTTATTTAGTTTTGGGGGCACTACAGAATAGTGGGTAGATAGAGCAGCTTGGCCAATTCAGGACTGCAAGAGTTGGGCTTAATCTTCTTCTGGAGAATCAGATGATGGGTGCTCAGAAGCTGGGGTGGTTTCCTTAAAGGGTAGGCGTTGGATGTGGAATGGGGTTGGGGAAGGACCAAGGAGGTTCCACTATAAAGTGGTGTTGGGGACAGACATGAATTGGTAGTGTTTAAGCCCTATCCATTGGGGCCCCCCTCCCTTGCTTGAGGGATTATTTTGCCCCTGGCTTCCAGATTTGTAAGTTAGCCAGGGCTGCCTGCCCACTGTAATATTATGTCTGTCTCCAGGTCATTTTGTAATGGCCTTCATTTGCTATAGCAATCTGAGGGCTGGGAGTGTGAAAATAATTGTAATAATGGATGTTGTAATAATGGGTAACTTCAGCTGCCTTCAAGTTGCTTAGGTAAACTCACGTTTAGGCAGTGACAAAGCAAAACATCTAAATGACTGCGCCATGAAACTGTTGGGGAAGAAAGCAAATAAATGGAAATGACCCTGGAATTACAGAACTATCTAAATCCCCTTCACAACGGGCTGGAGAGCGGGTTGAACTGGCCAGAGGTGTTTCTCTGTCCAGCCCTGCTGCCTGCAGGGAGATACCGGCGTCACGCCACAAGTATGGAGCTCCCCTTCACCCTGTCAGATGTGCTGTTGGATCCCAAGCTTGTCCCAGTGATGCTGTGTTATGGCGTCAGGCCTTATTGCTGCACCAGCTGCAGGCTGCTGCTGTGATACACTTACCGTATTTTTTGCTCTATAACACTCACCCCCCAAAAAAGTAAGGGGAAATGTTTGTGCGTCTTATGGAGCGAATGCAGGCTGCGCAGCTATCCCAGAAGCCAGAACAGCAAGAGGGATTGCTGCTTTCACTGCGCAGTGATCCCTCTTGCTGTTCTGGCTTCTGAGATTCAGAATATTTTTTTTTCTTGTTTTCCTCCTCCAAAAACTAGGTGCGTCTTGTGGTCTGGTGCGTCTTATAGAGCGAAAAATATGGTACTTCCTTGCTCCAGCACCCCCCCCCCCCGGTGATGGTGGCAGAGCTGTGGATGTAGTGTTGGTCCTGCCACTTTGTTCAGCCCCTCCAGACCACAGTACAGTGGTACCTCGGGTTAAGTACTTAACTTGTTCTGGAGGTCCCTTATTAACCTGAAACTGTTCTTAACCTGAAGCACCACTTTAGCTAATGGGGGCTCCTGCTGCTGCCACGCTGCCGGAGCAAAATTTCTGTTCTTATCCTGAAGCAAAGTTCTTAACCTGAAGCACTATTTCTGGGTTAGCGGAGTCTGTAACCTGAAGCGTATGTAACCTGAAGCATATGTAACCCAAGGTACCACTGTAGTAGCAGTTAGGACTGTAGCTAGAAACCTGAGTGGTAGCCCAGGACCTGTTGCAAGATGTAAATGATGTTGAACTGATTGGGAAAAGAGACCACGGCCCTATCAAATTAAACATACAAGAATGTGGAAACCTGCCCATGAAGTAAAACATGGGCAAACTTAAATTTCAGAAGAGGGGAAAGGAAAGGAAAGGAATAGGAAGAGTTAAAATGCTCCAAGACTGGCTTCTGAACTTGGGACCTTCTGATTGCAAAGCAGGTGTACTACAACCGAACCATAACTTTTGGGAGATCAGAGCTGATGTCTCTCCATTCATCCTGTAATAAGACTGATCCTTGTAGGCTGCCCTGGGGGACTTTTTGGCCAAAGAATCTGGTAAAAATGTTTAAAATGCACTTTCATGGTAAGAGCATAAGAAGAGTCCTGTTAGATCAGACCAAAGGCACATATAATCTAGAACCCTGTTCCAAGTGGCCAACCAAATGCTGATGGGAAGCCCGCAAGCAAGACTTGAGTGCAACAGCACTCTCCCAACTTTGGATTCCCAGTAAATGCTGTTCAGACACCTATAGCCTTTGATAATGAATTTAGTCATGACTGGTAGTCATGATATCCCCTGTGAATTTGACTAATCCCCTTCTAAATCCATTTTGGTAGACATCACTACATTTTGTGGGAGCAAATTCCATATGTGTTGTGTGAAGAACTCCCTTTTTGCCTGTCCTGAATCTTCCAACATTCAATTTCATTGGATTGGCTCATGAGTTCAATTAATAGGAAGGAGGGAGAAAAGCTTTTCTCCACATCGCATCATTGTATGCCTCTTTGTCATGCCCTCCCCCCAAATACTCACTCTTTCAAAACTAAGAAGCCCCAAATGCAACTTTTCCTCATAAGGTAGTTGATTCAGTCCTTTGATCACACAAGGCAACCAGAATTGTAGCTAGCATTCCACGTGCCATAGCTTTGTAGAATGGCATCATGATATTGGCAGACTTTCAGTCCCTTTCCTACTGACCCTCTTAATGGAATATGCTAAACTGGTGAAACTCTCCAGAGCACTTCCAGATATATGCAGCAGGTAGCGCTACAGCCTAGTTAATTTTGTGTTTTATTTTCTAGCAGGCCCACATGATAAAATCCGTAAGCTGTTCCTTCTTGTGCAAAATGATTCTTTATATACTAATCTAGATGTTATGCTGAGTTAGGCACGCTCAAACCCTTTGATTTCAAAAGATTTAGAGGAAAGATTGTAGTCAGTGGCAAAGCATCTCTAGTTCAGTTCCCAGCATTTCCAGCTAGGGTCGGAAAAGACCTTTGTCTGAAATCCTGGAGAGCCACTTCCCATCAATGTCAACCAGATGTGGGAAGCTTTGGCCTCCACACGCTGCTGAACTACAACTCTTGGAGCTGATGGGAATTGTAGTACGGCAGCATCTGGGATGTCAAAGGTTCTTCATACCTGGCATAGACAATATTGAGCTAGACAAAGCAATGGTCTGACTTGCTTTAAGGCATGCCCCTATGTTCCTGACTCTGGTACAGAGTTAAGGCTCAGACAGCTGATTAACTGCTTATAAAATGAAATTATCATTAGAAATCCTTTGTAACAGAATCGGGGGGGGGGCACTTTTTTTTATCCAGTTTTGGGAACCAGCATCCTGATTACAGCCATTTCTGCACGGTCCTGCCTAGATCTTATTTGTCATTATTATTTTATCTTAACAGCCAGTCCCTCATGGGGGTGTTGGATAGGGCTTTCTTAGAATACATTAATCAAGCTAGTATTTTCCATTTGGATAAAGAAAGAGTTTGACACTTTAATTAACCCTTCCCAAACCTGTTGTCCTCCTGATGTTTTGGAACCCAACTCATATCAGCCCAGGGGGAAACACCAAATAGGGATTATGGGAATTGTAGTCAGCAACAGCTAGAGAGAATCAGGTTGGGTAATACTGATTTAATCAGGAGTTGAAAAAGATATTTTGAATTCGCCTCCAGAACCAAAAACTTATTTCATAAGTTACTTAAACTACCACAAATTCCATAGAACAAATAATTTGATCCATTAATCAGCTGTTCCTAAAATTAGGAAGCTTTTGCTGATATCTTTTACATTGTATTATATAGATGTGATTTCGGTGTCTTTTTAAAACAGAAAAGCAAGATTAAAATGCTTGGAGATAAATTAATAGCAGTCAATCTATTTTGCTGGTGCTCTATTCTTTAACTGCTCTGGTAGATCACCCTTTTGTCTGACAACTTGTTAAGATATTTAGCCATTGTTAATATATCTCTTCAAGTCTCTTTCCCAAGAGTTCCTTCATCCTTTCTCATATTATGTACTCCAAGCACTTAGTCATATTTTGTTGTTCAGTGTTTGTTGGTATCCTGAACAGAATTTTCAAACAAAAGCCTAATAAGTACTGAACCAGTATAATGTTGTTGCCACTGGTGTCTTCCTTATACTGTTTCTGTTAATACGACATAACTGCATTTTCCTTGAAATATTTTTATATCTTCAGTACACCACAAACATTCTTCACTTGTGGCCTAGCTGCTAAATTTGCTTTTACAAAGATGCAGTTTTCTGGCTCATCTGAAGTGATTCAGGGGACAGTCACTGCAGCTTCTGTTAGTACTTACGTTCATACCAGTCCCTTTCTTGAGCAATTCTTAATTCCTAAAACTGTAAGTCACTGTAATGCATAGTTTTTCATGACTCTCATTTTTATACATCTTTCTTCTCTTAGTGTGCAGTGCTACTTTATATACCAGTCCAGAAAGCCAGGGCTAAAATTAGTAAATCCCACTTCACAGGATTTGACGTGGTAACATCTCTACCAAGAACTGAAAGTTACCTTAGAGGAAAAGATGGAAGAAATATGAA